GTTCATCCTATTCCTAGCTTTATAGGTGCTTTCTGTGGCCCATCCCTAGGTTATTATAAAGCTTCTAGATTTCTTATAGGAGCTATAATTCCTATTATAGATACTCTCTTATAGGGATTACTACTAGTAACTTTAGGTCTACTAGAATAGAAGAGTCTTATAAACCTAGCTTACCCTCAGAGCCTTCCTCTTTATAGGCTATCTCTTTTCCTGCTATCTAACTTTATATAGTTATGGAGGAGGGTTCACTAGTTAGTTTAGGTCTAACTAACCCCTTTTATAATACTATTTTCCTAATGGACTAGTTTCAAAGGTTAAGTAATAAAATATAAGGATCTATAATCTGTGAGAGTTAGAAACTAGTGTAAAAGAAGAATATTTATAAATAGGTTTAAATATAGGTGTCCTTATTTAAAGAGATTATTACTGAACTTCAGAGTTTAGTAGTTATGGGTAGGGTTATTATCTTTATATATCATGTGACTATTTATATAACCTCTTATAAGGATCCTCCCTCCAGGTAGGCTCCTCTATAAAGGTAACTTTACTATAGTACATAAAGGACCTTCGCGATCCTTACAGGCATTAAATAGGAAATATATCTACTTAATATATATTAATAGATTATTACTAATAGAATTACTAAACTACTCCTAGATAATAATAGCATAGTTATATACTAGAGGTATATAGACTAATACTATAGTAAATATAATATAGAGGACTTTACCTATCTAGAATATAATAGCATCCTTAAAGCACTTAACCTACTTATTATTATAATTAATAATATCTAGTATATAGCAGGCCTCCTAGAATATAAGATAGACTATGCTACCCACTGTATGAATATCCTTATATCTAGAAGGGCTAGGAACTATTATTAATAGATAGTAGAGGTAGTATATTTTACTACTCTATAGTATAAGTAGATATACCTAACCTAGCTAGATGCCCTGCTTCTATAGCTTCTACCTATTATTCTCCTAGATAAAGTAGCATAGTATATCCTAGTATAGATACTTATCTATATTAGGGTGATAGTAATAATAGGTAAAGAACTCTAGGAGATAGGTTATCTTACTATTAATTAACCTCTATAGCTCATCCACAGGAATATTAGTATTATATAGAATATTATATTCATCCTTATTATAGATAACTAAAGCCATCACAGAGGGCTTCATACTATCTATATAATATTCTATTAGATACTATATTACCTCTAAGGCCCCTAGATATTATCTATTTATAAATTCCTTAGTTTTATTAAAGAAGAACTTAATAGTTAACCTATCTAGACCCTTATAGAGGTATTTATAAAAATACTAGATAACCTTAATACTACTATATAACTTAATATTTATATAGGCTATATACTTCTAGCTAAGGTAGGGATTATAAGGGACTACCTACTTATTACTAATATTAAGGAACTCCTAGGGCTAGATAGGGTGCTTAGTCCTAATCTATATAGTATTATAATAATAGTACTAAGGATAACTATCTTCCTTAATATCTATAGTATTATAGAATGACTTAGGGAAGTACTTAGAGTAGGACTAAATACTATTAATATTCTTTATATATAATATAGTTAGATTATAGTCACCATAGGGCCTATATATTATTATCTTAGTAACTACTATATATAGCTACTCCCTACTATAGCTATTAATTAGTGGAATTTCTACATAGATAACCTTATTAAGAATAGTAGCATTAAGAAATTAATTAGTATATTCTACCTAGAGAAGGATATAAGCATAGGGTAGTCCTTACTTCTAATACTTAACTATATAGATATAGGCCTAATACTAACTAAATATATTCTACTTATAGATATCCTATAGAAGATACTTTAGCTTTATATAAAATACATATATAACTAAGTTAGGATAAGTATATATATCCTAGATTAGAATACCTATATTATCCTAGATTAGCTTATTATTAATTTCTATCTAATATAGATTTACTATAAAGATAATAAAGAAGGTTAGCTTACTAAACTAATATATAATAGTAAGAGAGTTCTAATAGTACTTCTAATAATAGTAGCTACTTCCTATAAAACTTACTAATAGGATAACACACTAGCCTATCTCTATAGGCAGGGGCTAATCTAATATAACTATATACTATAGCTAGGCCTAATAACTTATCTAAAACTAGGAATAATTCTTAGTATATATCTTTAGTTAATTATACTAAGTAAAATCTAATCTCTGCTTCTCTACTATAAGATAGATATTAATAATAAATTACTAAAAGAGATTAGTACTATAATAAAGGATATTAAAGCACCCCTATTAAGTATAAAGTAGCTACTATACTTATATCTAGTTAGTTAGATTACCCTGCTAATAGGGATTACCTATATTAGTTATACTAGATAGTTATATAGCCTAGTAGTGGCTAACACCACTATCTAGGTAGAATAGAATATAATAAAGAGGTAGATATAGTAGATAGGAATAGTAAATATTTATTAGATACTAATTATTAATATTCTATAAGATATTAGGTGCATAGAGGTTAGTAAGTTTAGGATTATCTAAAAGTAATATTTAATTATGGGATATATTATAGGGAGCATAGTTTAGATATAGATAGATATTATAAAAGCTAGCATAAGGGTATTTATCTAGTATATCTAGATCCTATAGTATATCTAGGATAAAGCTAGTAACCTTATAGACAGAGATAACTAGATTAAACTAGTAGCCCCTACTATCTAGGGTAATAATATGCACCTAAGTATTTAAGTAGATGAAATCTAGGGAGAGGTTTATTATAATATTATAAGTATATTAGAAGAGGATATAAAATTAATTTAATAACTAGATAGCTTAATTAAGATACTTAATCAGATTAATAGCTACCTAGTATAGAGATAGATTATTTTAAGCATAGATCTTATTAGCTAAAGAGGGGTTAAGTAGGTAAAGACTAGTATAAGAAGGGACTATATCTAAATAATAGGAATATAGAGATATATATTAGTATTAGTATATATTATAATTAGAAGGAAAACTTTATAATATACTAGCTAGAGGCCCCTAGTAGTAGTATATTATTCTATTAATCTAGAATATATAATTAGATTTATTATGGCCCAGATAATCATCCTAATTATAGCTAATAGATATAAAAGCCAGGGAGTAGTTAAGCTAGTAGATATAGCTCTAGAATAGCTTTAAATCAGTATTATTAGTACTAAAATAATAATAAAGTTTAGTATTTAAAAGCTCTAGAATAGGGCATAACTATACTAATCCCTTCTAATAATATTTATAATATAATATACCATAGCTAATTATTATCTCTTAAAGCTAATAAAGAGCACTATAAAAGAGATAGACCTAATTTATTTATCCTAGATCTAATATATCTTACTTGCTACTATATAAGGAAAAGGTAATAGATATAGACTAATATATATAGTAGTAGTAGTAGCTATAACAGGCTTTATAATACCTATATTAGTACTAGTATGCAGGGAGCAGTATATAGTATATATAATAAGTAGGAATAGCTAGATTATCTAAGTAATTAGTTAGACCTCTCTATATAGTATAGGCACTAGACTTATAAAGATAATACTAATAGTAATTATAGTTAGTATAAGCTTACTACTAAGTAGGGAGGATAGACTAATAAGTTTAATATATCTAGGATATTATTATTAGAGTAGAAGGTAGCTATAATACTAGATTAGCTAAGTAGGTACTAGAGTAGTAGTTAGAGTACTTATTATAGTTAATAGATATAGATAAATAAGTAGCATAGTAGATATAGTACTTAGAGTTATAAAGAAACTATAGCTTATTATTATAGATCACTATAAGGTAGTCTAGATAGTATATATACTAGTATAGGATAGGCCTATAAATTAGGCTAGTATAGTAGCTATAATATATATTAGGGGTAGGTATAGAGAAGATAGAGTAATAGGAATATTTTAAGATATATTATAGATAATAAAGATAATAGCTACTAGCTAATAGCTAGCAGACTAAGTAGAAGGTAGTAGGATATATATTATAAGTAATATAAAAAGATTATAGATAGTAAGTAAAAATAAGTATTAAAATAGGTAAGATAGATAGCATAATAATAATTAGTAAATATAATCCTATATATAAAAAAGAGTAATATATTATAAAAACTATAGAGTAGATATAAGAGTATTAAATATAGAGATTATACTAAATATAAGAAGAAGAGATCTATATAGTAAAGAAAGATTAAGAAGATTAGTAAAGTATAATAAAGATAGTTAAAATTAAGAATATAAAATAGTACTTATAAGATAGATTAATATATTATAAAACCCCCAGATAGGAGTAAGGATAGTAGATAGTAGATATAAATAATAGTCTAAACCTAAAGAGAAGAGCAATACATAGTAGAAGAAGATTAGTAGAAAAAGTAGTAAAATAAAGATAAAAATAAGATTAAAGTTAATAGTAGTAAGGTAGGCAGAGATATAGAGGTAGATTTAATAAGGTATAGGAGGCTATATATAGTACCTAGAATAGTAGGTGATGAGGGCAGCCACAGCAGCAGAACAGACCTTAAAGTGTGAACAACATTAAAGCAGCCAAGTATATATATGATATAGATAAAATACTGTATCCTACTAACTAGAATCTGGATACCTGCTTAGTATAGTGGTATTACACAGATTTCAGTTCTATGACAAACTTTTAGTCCTATTACTTATTACATAGAAAATTATATATATTCATGGATACGGCCTGAATATATCCTAGTTTAACCTCTGCATACACAGATTATCAGCATACCCATATAACCATATTACCTGGAATCTGACATTATATTATTTTGTCTTATTGCGTATCATTTGATACGAGCCAATACACACCACAGGACTCCATCATGTGGCCGCCTGATGGACATGAAACTGAAAGTGATGAAACTCCCAACCGCACTCTTCCGAACTCCAACAAGGAGATTCTCTTGCATCAGTCATGATGAATAATACAGGCAAAGGCCGACTTCAGGTTCCAGGTTTTAACGATGTTCCTCTATATTTTGAATTCCCCAGAGAAGATCGATTTGCGCATGGGTTCGCAGATTGGTCGCAAAATCCACGATTGACGGCTCGCGAAGTCGCTATGCTGCGTTTCATGGAAGCTATGACTGAGGAACCGGGATGGGAAGTTAAAGTCGCCAATCCCGCCGCATTGGATAGTTGGCGCGCCAAAGCATTCTCCCAGTACGGCCTCAGCCGCCAGGCATGGGCGTGGTGCCAGGCCGAGCTGCAGGATAAGGCGTCGGATTTCAAGCGTACCGGTTACGTGATGGTCTTTGATGCGGATTCAAGAGTCTGCAAATCGAATACCCTAATCGCCTCCGACTTACGCAAGGATATACAAGAAGCCTTTGGACCCTTGTTATCCGCTACACCGACTCAGAGCAACCAGAAGCCTGTTCGACAGCTGGTGGATCCTTCTATGTACCCACTCGTGTACGGATCGAGTCGGTTGTACACCAATGGAGGGGCCGTTGGCCTGGAACCATGGAATTGGGAAGAATACAGACATTGTCAAATCACTCCAAAACCCGTCAAGCCAAGCGGGGAGCTGTATGAGATTAACCAGGACGAGATGGCCCGCAAGTGGGATAAGCGAAGGCTTGCGAAGCCGAATTGCTGGTCGACTGACTTTCAGTGGCTGCCATGTGAGGTATCATTCGAAGGTGACATGATGACACCTTGCATCACTTCGTACATCAACAATATACATCCCAAGAACAAAGGGGCATACAAAGCGATTGAGAGGTTGATCGGCACCGCCATTGCGCCGTGGAATGAAATGCTTATCCTGGGAAGGCAAGGGCGAACGCCGATACGGATTCGCACATACAACTACGTGGAAGAGAACAAAGAGAAGCCCAGCTGGTTCGGTCGTATCCGGGATCGGAAACCGGGCGACCAAAGTCAAAATGCAGTCAGCGACGAGGAATGGGACGAGATTCGTTCCAAGGTCAAAGAATACCTATCTCTTCCTGACTATCCCAGGGAATGTCGATTTTTTGATGAGGCAGACTATGACTTCTGGCCAGTATGGCTCCGAAAGACTGGGAATCCCCAGATAAAGTAATCAACCTCGTGCTGGATAAGTTGTGTCGGCGGTATGTCTTTCACTATCCAGAGCCAGGCATTTCCTTTACCTACTCTGACTGGAAAGCCGGACGGAATACTGGTCGAGCAATCCTCCCAAAGTATGACAACTTTTCCCCTAATCATGCACTACCTCAGGACCCAGACCATCAGTACTACTCTATTTCACTGCAGGAGAGGTTTCGCACCAAGGGCCTCCAGATTATCGTGCAGGTGACTAGTATTAACCTCACGCCTGATCATCCAACCTATGCTGGCGACCAGGAATTCCATGTGGCCGGCATGCTCAATGAGCACATAGTTGCAACTGCGGTCTATTACTACGATGTAAACAACATCAGTGGTGCAAATATATCCTTCGAACAGGAGGCAGTCATTGATAATAATTCTTTCAATGTCGAGAACGAAGATTTCATTAACAAGGTTTGGGATATCCCGGACTGTGATGTTCCCGAAGACGACGAACCCTGGCAGTTTCCACAGGCACTGCAGACTCTGGGTGCTATCACAATCTCATCTGGACAATTCCTGGCGTGGCCGAATACCCTGCGGTCTAAGGCTGAATCTTTCAGTTTAGAAGATTCTTCTCGCCCGGGACATCTACGCTTCGTTACTCTCTGCTTGGTTGACCCCCATTACCAAATCTGTTCGATCAAGAATGTTCCTCCACAGCGACGTGACTGGGCTGCAACTCCTTCTGGGGGCTCAACTGAGAATGGCGATGGAACATTCATGACCCCAGAACAGGCTCAGGAGATGCGTGAGAGGACGACATCCGAGAGAAGATCTGCCACAGAGAAGCTCAATAATCATGGTATTGGTGTTTATGATTATGTTGCATATTATCATGACCTTGTCTGGCCACTCTGAAAGCCCTCCGCACTTGTCAAAGGCCCCGAGGAGCAGCGCGAAAACAAGATGGCGGCCGCTGCGGAGAGAGCGCTCTTGGGGAGGGACTTGGTTCAGTAGAGTGTTGGAACTTGGATTTTGCTTTATTGGTTGGGGGTGACCACGGATCTAGCGCGGCCAATACCATGGTGTTTACTGATTTCACCTCCGGGCAACCCCTGCAGCAGTTCATCACCAGCACGAATTTCTCTGGCTACCAGAAGCAGCTGGCCTCGTTCGACCTGGATGCACGCGAAAGGGACATTTTCTCCCGGTTCTGGGGACTGGGTCTCTGGGCCGGCTTGGTGATGGACGGGTTACACCATCGTCGGCACCGACACCATATTATCCGCCTCTCGTGGCAGAAATAGGAAGCTAGCTATTATGGAAACGATACCAACTTTCAGTTTTTCCGCGAGATGAAGACCATGCTCACAATGATGGTCATTCTCTAGCTACGGTTATAGACGCTCTCATTGGACCCAAAGTACATCAGCCCCCGGCATCTCAATACCCGTCAGCCACGCCCTGTGACAACTTCGTTATTCTCACAGGTAACCCACACGCAAAATGCCTCATATATCGATCAACGTCCCCTATATATATATATATATATATATATATGTTTTCTCAATCTGTCTATCGATTGTCTATTATACTCCCACGTTCCGACTGACCTGTGCTAGCAGTCGATCTGCAAACGTCGAACCCATATTGCTCAATTGCACCGAGTAGGCGCCAACTGTTAGAGCACCCAACTCATCATCCTCTTTCATGGTATGTATACTAACGAAAAGAGTTGCCCTTCGAGAGAAATATCGTTTCGTCACCGGACAGGCCACTTGGGTATCAGTGATCACTGACGATTATTCAGTAAGACCGGCGGACGAACACTGCAAAATGAATGACAATTATCCTCAATTCCGCGTCGCAACCCAAGATGATGCACTCCAGATCCAGCAGCTTGTACAATCTGCATTCCGCGCTGAAGACAGCAGACCAAACTGGACAGCAGACATGGATCTTTCCTCACGCTTCCGCATCCAGGTGGGGGGGATACTCGAGAAAATCGCCAAGTCGGACAGCGCGATTCTGATCGCCACCGACCAGAGCGGTGCCCTGGTAGCCTCCGTGGGAATCCAAAAACAGACCGCAGAGCTTGCCCGCCTTTCTCTGTTGGCAGTAGACCAACGTCACCAACGTGGGGGGTTAGGACGTCAGGTCCTTGCCCGTGCTGAAGGGTACTGTCAGCGGATTTGGGGTGCTCGGAGAACAGGGTTGAACGCCCTCTCAACACGTGAAGAGCTTATCCTCTGGTATATGCGCTGTGGGTACCGGAAGACAGGCCAACTGACGCATGAGCGGATCCAAAACGGCCTTTTCACAGATGATTTGTGTTTTGTTGAAATGGAGAAGGGTTTGAAAGAAGCCTGAAGTTTGAGCTCATGTCAATATACACATCTACGCAGGAGCCTTCACCTGAACTCACCTCCACCTGTGTGGATTCATTGTACGTTACATGATCTGGATCTTAAAATCTCCCTTGAGGCTTTCCTTTGCTAGATCCTTGCTCAAGTAGCTCACTTAGCCTCTTCACAATGATTATATGATGACCTTACCCGGCGCCCGCCATATAATTTTGTCCCTCAGATGGCTGAATTCTACACGGTGATCCGGTTATCTTCCGGGTTTTTTTTTGTTTTGTTTTTTTTTCAATTGTAGACAATGGGGGTGAACGCATTGACTTGATTTAAGAAATAGTTTAGCCCTGGATCCCTACTCCCTGGAACTCTTCGTTGTTCAATGCCTGGTTGATTGTCTGCTTTACGGCGATCCCATGCTCTGCCGTACAACTTCATCTTTGGCCATTTTTTTTATTCTCAACTGGAGGACAACTGGAGTGCTGTTGACTGGTCGCAGTGGACTGGCAACTTCGTATACAAGTACTCAGTTGAAGATATGTCTATTAACATGATCTAGTGATTGAAGGGACAGCCTTAAGTGTACAATAATAGGAAGCGAAGTTGACTGTATCTGTGAGCATGCCTCATCACAGGAACTCGGATGGCGGTCAACCGTTGCCAACCGTCAAAACCCCCCTACTGACCGACAGACCCTTACAGAGCAGCCAGGGCCACGAACACCGCAGCGACAGCGCCGAAGAGAGAGCCAGAGAGTCCACTAGCAGAGTTGCTAAGGAGGTTGGTCGACGAGGGGAAGGACGAGCTGCCTGTCGAGGAGGAGTGGCCGGAAGCTCCCGAGCCAGAGGAACCGGAAGAACCAGAAGAACCAGAAGAACCGGAAGAGCCGGAAGACCCCGAGCTACCGCCGTTGGCGCCAGGGCGGGTGGAGTTCCAGGAGCCGGGGTAAGTACCGTTGTACGAGCCATTGGGTCCCTTGCCAACGCTGAAGGTAGGCTTGGCAGCGCTAGACGAGCCAGCGGCGGCGGTCGCAAAACCCGAAGTCTGAGAGCCCGAGGCACCAGCGCCGGAGGCGGCGGTGGCAGCGGCAGTAGCGGAAGGCACGGCAGAGGACGAAGACACAGCGGAGCAAGACAGGTCGAACAGGGGAGTGGTGCTGAGGGTGCTACCGACAATCCCGAAGCTGGGGTTAGGAGTGACCGGGTCGGCGTCCTGGAGGATGTACCACCAAGTGTTGGTGTTGCCAAACAGAGGGCATCCCACCTGATCCCAGTAGGCCTTGGCATTGGCGGTGTTGGCGACGGCCAGGTTCTCGGTCTTGCCGCTGACGGGCCAACCGGTCTCGGTGATCCAAACCTCCTTGCCCTTGGCGACCGCCTGGGTCTTCGCTACCGACTCGTCAAACAGGGCCTTGGCATCGGAGATGGAGTTGGGCATGGTGTTCTGGAAGTAGGGGTAGCCGTCGAAACCCAGCCAGTCGCAGGCATCGATGACGGCCGAGTTGGAGCCGTTGACCCAGGCGGTCCAGGTGTCGACGTGGCCGATGGGCGCGCCGCTCAGGCTGGTACCGGCAATGGCCTCACGGACCTGGTGGATGTAGGAAACCAGATCATCGGGGTTCGCACCCAGGCCGGCTTTGGACTTGACACCGTCGACCGAGTTACGGTATAGATCCTCACTGCCGACGGAGATACCGACAACGTGCTTGCCGAAGTCGGCGCCGTACTGGGCGATGGCCGCCTTGAGGGCGGCGATCTCGTTGGCAACGTTGCCTCCGGAAGCCCAGATACCGAGGAGAAGGGAGGTATCCTCGGCGATGGCGGCGGGAATGGCGGAGATGGGAGTGGCGGAGGTACCTCCTTGCTATACGGGGATCGGTCAGTCCGGGGTGGTCTTGAGGGATACCGAGAACATCGCTGGGGCGTGAACACATACAATCATGGTGTAGAGACGGGCACTGGTGAATCCCGAGGTGCCCACCAGGTTCTTCGCGGTCGAGAATTCGGCCGCGAAGTCGGATTGGGACTTTGCGCTGCCGTCCGACTTGGTGTTGCCATAGTTGAAGCCCTGGTGAGCGGCCTCGGTGGCAGCCACGGCCAGAGCGAGAGCCAGCAGCTGTCTAGTCTGCATTATGAAAAGTATAAAGATGGGGGTGAGAAACGAATGTCGAAGGATGGTATTAGCGAATGTATATGGGATGACAGTTAGTGAAGGATAACGAATGAAATGAACATTGGATGTCAAGAAGAAGACCCCAGTTCGATAAAGACCGTCAATAGATAGATAGATAGAGAGAGAGAGAGAGAGAGAGAGAAGAGGGAAGAGAAGAAGGTGAAGCAAGACAAGATGACCTGAGGACATAAATAAGACTGAGATCTAGACTTGGGGAGCCAATTGACCTGTCCAGCACTAACCAGCAGCACAGTGGACCAGGGCCACGTTGGCTCCCCTTAGTGAATGGCTTGTTCCAGAACTATCAGTGTAGGTTACTAACCTAGAGTCTAAGGGAGGCCTGATTAGTTACCGAGGCCCACATCTCTAAAGATAGAAATCTCTTTTGATTAACCGATGCTTTTGATTGCTCTGATTTTACAAGAATAGGTGGATGGCCCTAATTCCCTCAGGGGCCAGCACCCCTGGCCAATCATATCTCCTGTCCGCTGTTGTGGCAAACACCTGCAAGCCACCAGTGGGTCAGACAGTCACGTAAGTGGTTGTTGAACGATGGTCCCTGACCCACAGTGGAGCCCCTGGCTGGTGATGTTGCAAATCACAGTCTCTCTCATTTAGTAATTATCTAGTAATTACTACAGTATTAATGCAAACAGCCCATTTTCAATAGTCGGGCAATAAAAAAAAAATCAGTCAAATGTCTGAGTTGGACATGACGACATTTAAAAATAGTCCATAGCCTAGACTCGGTGTCAAAACTTCCATTTTCAGCATCTCGAGCCCCCTGCCCCTGATTCTCCTGACAGGAGTTACGGAAAAGTAGTATGCATAATGCAACATGGCTTCGGAGTCCGGATCCACTGGAAAAGGAGGAAATTGCAAACTGCAGGTTGGAGAACCCGCATCCTATGGAGTAGTTGCCATATATCCTTGGGCAGAGTACGGAGTATCGACTCCATTCCCATACCACCCAAAGTAGTAGTAGTAGTAGTGCTCAACTGCTGTCCTCGTGAGGGTCGATGGTCCATGGACATGCTACCTGATAGAGCGATTGTTCCATTGTACAATGACATTGACTGCGAGCCTGATCCTACAATGGTATGCGTTGTCTTCCGGATCATGCGCAAGACAATCCCGGATGAAGTCAACACACCTAGCCACCTGATGAACTGGCACGACCGAATTGATCTTGGTCCAATATCGAGATTTACAACTAGAATATAAGGACCTGAGAAATCGACGCGCTGTGATCTGCGGGCACTACGGTAAGTTCGGTGTCAGATGACTAACTTATGATTAAGCGAGGTCGGACCAAGCGCAGGCGGAAGGGAACTTATTATTATTATTGTGTGCTCCGACATGAACACTCCTACTAGGTATGGGCTGTGGGCCGCATTCTTAACTTGCCATCAACTATACTGTGTACATAGTCCTCTTCAGTGAGAAGTCGCCCCTCCAACTATGACGTTCTCCCTTCCTTATTATCGGGATGCTCGCCAATTACCAGGGCCGTTTGAGGGCGCCATGATGCGAATTGTCTTGAGTGATCTGGAGTTCTAATACCATGTACCCTGGTGTCTTTTACACGAACTCATCCCCAAGTCTTCGGGGGATTGAAGGAAAAAGAAGGAAGTGGGAGGACCCGAGGGTAGGAGGTTCTTATATACTCGGGGGAGCAGACGGGCAAGCCGAAAGCAAAACTAACCCGGAGCGGAAATTCACAGGTCCTCGGATTACTTTGACAATAATCGCACAGAGCAGTCAATCTCGGTTCTGCTGAAGCCGCGAACGGACAGACCACCAGTAGTGACCAGACTCCAATTAGAGCTTCATTTTCTTTTACGCGAAACTCAAGATGCAGGATCGTAACCTTCGCTACATCTCTTTCTAAAATGATATCCAAGGCAATGGAGGCATTATCCGCAGCCATCCCAGTTCGGGAGTTAGACAGTCAGTCCACATCAAGCCTGGATAGACCACAGACTCGTCACGAGGAGAAGGAAAAAAAGATGGTAAGATTGAGCCGGTCATAGCACAGTGAAATTCGTCTAATGAACCGCCTATTTGAACCAATACCCGGTCAGTCCTTCGATCGTTCGTTTGCCGACATCGTGATGCCGGTTCTCCTCCCAAACCTTGCCCCCCTCTCCAAACTGATTGGACAGATGCCCCAGGAAAAACTCGAGGTTTTGCTGGCATTCCGGGAAAGCATTCTTGAAGGTATCGAACAGATCCTGGACTGTTGGCTTGGTTTCCGCATATGTGACCTTCTCTGCGAATAAGTCGAGATACTTCTGGGTATGGGCAATGTCTGCTTTGGCGTCCAGTTCCCAGTCAGGCTCCAAGTGGCCTGGAATGACCTTGACGGGGTCTAAGGCAGAGATCAAAGCGATGGTCTTGTTCCATGCGTCCAAAAGCGCCGGAGTTTCTACCTCTTCCACCCTGCCCGATTTGAAGTCGTCAGTCCCGAAGTCAGTCATACAATAAAGACCTGTGCCTACCAAACATGCGTGCTTCGGCCATAGATGGTATCTCCACAGATGATCGTCTTCTCAGTCGGCAGCCAAAAGAGGGTGTGATCGACACTGTCGCCTTGAAGAGGCCCCAGCAGCACCACAGGGCTCTCCGGATTCCCATTCAATAGGAAGAAGTTGAAGTTGAATTCCTCGGGCTTTTGAGGTGCCTCGGGTACGTTATCACGGCCAAAGACCGTCGGCCAGTATTTCACCTTGTCGTCATATTCGCGGTTGATACCCGCCAGAACATAAGACGCCGCGTAGAACTTGGCACTGGGAAACGCATCGAGGATAGGATTCGCCGAGAAAAAGTGATCCGGATGGTGATGCGTGACAAAGACGGCCTTCAAAGGGTTCGGTGTAGTTTCTTTGATCCATCGAACAACCGACAAAGCATCAGGAATCAGCAAGGGGGGATCGACAAGGACGGCTTCAGTGGCTCCCACGATCAACGTGGTAATACTTGAGAGGCCTGTGGAGGAGGAGGAGTGGTGGTATGTTTGAAGAGGCATGATGGATGGGCTGTGTGTGTGCTGTGCAATGGAGTAGAATAGAAGTTGGCCGTTGCATTGGGCGGGGAGATGCCCGAATTTATCTTTCTACCGCGCACTGGACGATCTGCTTCTCGTGTAGTTCTCAGATCTGACTGGGGGATTTCTGATCGTTAGCCTTTTTTAGTACTACTGTGTATGTGTGTTGTGGACGATCTCGGTTTCTCCTCCTTTGGCATCAACATGCCCCAGATTGTCTCCCCGGTCCCATCCCGGAAATCACCCACGGGAGAGATAATGGCTCCAGCCGATCACCCCCAGGATGGCTTTTACTCCGCGAAGCCGGGGAGGATGGATCATGGATCCCATTTTTTGGTCAATAATGTTCATATTCGGCAAATCCCTGGTGAGATAAGAAACCCGCTGCAATTGCGCTAACCCCCCACATAGTGTCCGATAGAGCCATTGAGGAACGGCAACACATAAAGGAATCGGGTAATCGCTGATAAATAAAGTTCAATTGGTGCCTCGCGGCCCTCGCCTGTTGTGAAATCTCGTATTTGGACTTCGGAGGTTTTCCGTCTACCTAGGTTGGTTGAGTGCATCTTGTGTTCCTGTGAAAACTGATGAATGACATATATCATCTAAACAAGTTGCGTATACAATCATTTGTGGCCACGTCCTAATTCTTAATCGCCCAGACATACTAGGATAAACCACTTCGACCATGGCCCAATATCATCCTAAGATCACACCGGAGTCCCTCAAAGACAAAGTATTGGTGGTGACTGGTCCGTGATACTCGCTTGATACTTAGATTTGCTGGATTCGAGGAATGCTGACCGGAAGTAGGAGGTGCCAACGGAATTGGTGCCAGTTTTGTCGAATACTGCTGCCAACATGGGGCATATGTCTGTTTTGGTGATCTCGCTGTTGATGCGGGCAGCCAGATCGCCCAGAATCTATGCTCATCTGGCTCATCCTCTCCTCCGCGAGCTATCTTCCAACATACTGATGTGACCGACTATGAATCCGTCCTTGGGTTGTTCGACCTGGCGTTGGAAAAGTACGGCCATGTGGACCATGCCATAGCTTGTGCCGGAATCATGGAGATCGGCAACTGCTTTGATCCAGCGTTGACTCTGGAGACTGTCCGAGAAGTATGCACCTCCCTCATTGTGTGGCGTGGTTGATGCTTACCAGACAAGGCCCCAACGACCAAGGTCCTCGACGTCAATCTCACTGGCTGCCTGTATCTCGCTCGCATCGCTAGCGTGTACCTACGCCACAACCGTCCAACGGACGCAGACCGATCCATAACTGTGATCTCCTCACTTGCTGGGTTCAAGGAGACCCCAGGTGCGTTTGTCTATCAGTCCTCCAAGCATGGAGTGCTCGGATTGATGCGCTCTCTACGCCTGTACCTCCTTTCTGCTCCTCATCGCATCAGAATCAATGCTGTCTGTCCGTGGATGACGACAACGGGAATGGTAGAGGGCATACGCAATGCCTGGATGAAGGCCAATCTGCCCTCCAACTCTCCAGCAGACATCGGCCACATCATTGCTGGGCTTCTTGCCGATCCCACGCTCAATGGTAAGTCCATGTACGTCGAAGGTGGCCGGGCATGGGCAATTGAGGCAAATCTGGATCGCCTGGAGCCCGAGTGGCTGGGGGAGGAGCCATCACGATCGTTGGCCAAGGGACAGGCGTTATTGGGAAGCGGTGACGTCTGGGTTCAATGATGTATCTTCACCTCTACCTCTTTAGAATGATTTTATAGGGGACTCTGGAACAGATGAGCGATTTTCAAATGTAAGTCCATGAACCTAACTGACGTCTTCCGCTGCACTGCTTGGGTATCAGAGGAGAAGCAAGTTAAGAGAGGTACATGGGTGTAGAATGAATAAACGATTGATATCAATCGACTGGATTTCAAATTGAAATCTTAGGATACAACGCCGTGCTCTTGAATCGACGGTTCTACAACTTGGAATGCTGCATTCTCTTTGCCTGCTCGCGTAGTTGATCTTTCCACTGGGGCTTTTCGGAATTGCGGGCAAGTAAATGACACCTCCCCGAGGTTGCGTATAATGAGCCATCTTCGATTTGACAAATTCTTAAACTTCTGCCTCACTGATCCTTGTTCTGTTGGCCACAATATTCTCTCTAGGAACCTCATTTGTTATGACTTGGAATGCCCTCACGACTCCGCACCAACTCAAGTCAGATTCTCGGTTGATTTGGGGATTTGCGGGGTAATTCTGCGGGGGTATGAATTATGAACGGGCAATGCGACTTCATTGTCCAATAGAGAAGTCAATGATCCTGATTTTTAGAGTTCCATCCTCTTGCACCACTGATCTTGTTAGCCCCATAGCCGCTCCTCCTCGGTTTCCTTTCTCCCAATGCACACAATCCGGCCCATCAACAAGGCCGACCCGGTTTGAGACTCATCACTGATCTTTCCGATCAGCTCATACACCTCTCGTGCATCTTTCCTCTCTCCTTCGTGATCCAGGCGTCTGGCAAACTCCTCGAGGCACATAATATATTGCTCATTGTTGGCCTTGGCCCGCTCTAGTGGATCATGGTACTGAAACAGCTGTGTGCGCGCAAAGCCATGGTTCTGTAGATACTGCGCAATCTCGAGTGTCCAGTTATTGCGACCATCGGAGTACGCAAACTGGCGCAGTTGCTCCATGGCTGCAAGCTCTTCCACCTTGACATTGGCTGAGATGATGTGTGCATCCCGGTAGTTGAATTCATCCCACTGAATCCAGCCGCCGGGTTTCAGCAGCTGAGAGACATTGCGGATCACCGGTGCCGGATCACTATCTCGGACCACTAGCATGAAGAATCGAAGATGGACAACGTCGTAGGCACCAATCAGCTCGGGAGGTGCATCATCAAAGATATCCCATTTCCGCAGAGTCACATTTCTTGGAAGCCACTCGACTGATGGTGCACTGTCTAGACTGACATCCAGACCATGGAGACTGGCACCGGGGAAGTCCCGCGCCACATCAAAGAGCCAGATGGCAGTACCGGTGGCGACATCGGCAATTCGGGCTTTAGATGGAACCGGAATAGACGGATGGAGATTGAATCCGACACATTCTCGAAACAAATAATGCTGATAGTTGAGGCGGGCAGTGGCCAGATAGTTCCGTTCTAGCATGTACGGTTTGCCGTTGGCCAAATGAAAGCCGGACCGTGCAGTAGAATTGGCCATGACGTTGTCCAGGTTGAGATTGAGTATCGCAAAGCCCGCAGAGTGAGAGGAATCGCGGTGATAGGAACTAATGCCGGCTGCGGAACAGTTCAATCTGAACTGGCCGTCTGGGGGAGATAATAAACCTACTACCCACACGCCACGGTCATACGCAGATCTAGTTACTCTTCACCCAGAGGACTCCGATGTGGAGCATGTTCATATGTTCCGCAGTCGCTATCAGGGAGAGATATCCGCGACAAATGCGATGATTCCCGGAGTATGATAGTAGTCACAGCAACAATAACGGCAGTATGACCAGATTACCAACATTCGAGCAAGTCAGATCGAGTGTTTCACAGGCACTTTCATCACATTCCTGGCGTGGTGTATGATACGGCTGAGCTTTGGCCAGCATGCGTCATCCAGCTTCATCGTCAAGGGGGGGGAGGGGGCAGATGCGGGCAAAATTGCTATGGTTGGCAAGGTTACTATGCTGCACGTGTACCGATTGGGCAGGCAAGCGGTACATGACCTTAAAAGGCGGTCCTTGAAGCGTGACATTGTCTCTCAACGGTTTGATGGACGGTGGAAAGTAGAGATTCCCTTCCCTGACCGCGTCTTGTCGATCCGCTTCTCAGTGAAGCTTTTTCCCATATTTGTCGTGGCACAGACCATCCCCACCAGAATAGGTTTGCATCCCTCATTGCTGATGTCTTGTGCGAGCCAAAAAAAAAAAAAAAAAAAAAAAAAAAAATATGTAGCCGATCTCTTTGGGTGGTCTTTGAGGATGATATACTTGCCCTCAATGATTTGTCCAACAACCACTGCTGACAAGTGAGCATATTGCGTCCTGCCAACCGAGAGCAGTCAGTTGCTTGATCGAATCGGATAACGGTCGGTAGTCTGGCAGTTCCGAAGCTGATGGTCAATTATTGGTGAAGTGCACGCATACTACCAGGAGTAGTGCACACCAAGTGGAGCCGGCGGGTGAGCAAATTCGGAGAGAATGAAAATCCGCAGACTCGCAGCAGTCAGATCATCAGATGTTGGGAATCAACCGCTTCCAAGCATTTTCAAACCATCTCAATCAGTTCCAGGCTTCCAGCACCTAGGACCAAACATGAAGCAAGCGATTGGAGCCGTGGTTCTGGCGCTGGGCAGTCTGGGTGCCGCTGCACCCCAGGCTCCCCCGGCCCCGACGGGAAGCAGCTACGCCACAGGTTTCGACATGACTCGTAGCTGGGCGAATCTGAGTCCCTACAAAGATGCGGATGGCTTTGGTGCTCCTAAGGGCGTGCCATATGGGTGTGAATTAAGCCAGGTTCATGTCCTTCATCGCCATGCAGAAAGGTACCCCACTCCTTACCCCCTGGATGGCCAAGGAATGGAAGATTTTGCGGCAAAATGGACCAACTACACTCGCGTGCATCGAAAGAAATCGGCTGCCACGGGACCTTTAAGTTTTCTAAACAACTGGGAGTACGTCCTAGGCGAGGATATTCTCCTGGAACCTGGCACGGCCACTGAGGCCACGTCAGGAGCCAACTTCTGGACCCAATACGGTCGATTGCTGTATCGTGCTGGTCGTGACAATGGCGCAGCTTGGAACGAGACTTTGAATAGATATCCCAACGGCACAGCACGTGCCAAGCCAGTTTTCCGCACGACTTCACAGGATCGCATCCTGGAAAGTGCCCGATGGTGGCTGAGTATGGAGGCGAATCTCCGTCATCGATTGAACCACGAATGGCTAACAATACTTGCCCTCTAGGCGGCTTCTTCGGCAATACCGGTGCCAACAGCTCGTACGATCAGTATAACCTGGTTATCATTCCCGAAGTGTCTAACTTCAACAACACGCTGGCCTCCTATGAATCGTGCCCAGGCGATATGGCTGAAGGGTGAGTAATTGCTAGGCAATCATCGATTTCGATGTGAGTGTGTATGTGTATGTGCATTGAGGCTAAATCGCGCAGAGATGACTCCGCCCAAGACTTCATCCCCCGATATACCAAACAAGCGATTGCGCGATTGGGACGGTTCCTTCCCAGCGACTTCAATCTGACTGCGTATGACGTGTTGGCAATGCAGAATATCTGCGTTTATGAACACACCAGTCTTGGAGGCTCTTCTTTCTGCTCGCTCTTCACCGAGCAGGAGTGGAAGGATTTTGCGTATAACGTCGACGTGCAATACTACGGCGACTATGCCTATGGCTCCCCCACGGGGCGGGCGCAGGGCATTGGGTATGTGCTGGAGCTCGCTGCTCGCCTCAAAGGACAGCTGATTACCTCGAGCGACACCAGCATCAATGCCACATACGATGATAACTTGGCGCAATTCCCGCTCGATCAACCCTTCTATCTGGATATGTCGCATGACGATATTCTCCTGTCTGTCATCACGGCGCTGGGACTGCGCTATTTCCGGTACGGCCCAGATGGCCTACCAGGCAACGTCGACCATGCACTGAACCGCACCTTTGCCATGAGCCAGATGACCCCTTTTGGCGCCCGTCTGATGTCAGAGGTATGGACATGTCCTCGCAACACCTCGTTTGAGCAATTGGCGCCGGTGTTGTATCGCAATCCGCATATCGCGTCGGGCCCCTCCGCCGCCAAATTCATCCGATTCGTGCTCAATGGAGCCCCCCTGGCCCTCGACGGACTGGTGGGCTGTGAAGCAGCGCACCTTGGGTTCTGTCCCGTCGACGGGTTCCTCCGCGGTATTCCAACGCTCCAGAAACAGGCAGAGTATCAACGGGCCTGCTTCGGACATTACCCAACTGGGAGTCAGGTGGGAGATGGGGCACCTGAGTCCTGAAACTGGCGATAGACTCTATATTATTATTGTCCAGATATGCGGTCTCTCCGAATGGGATGGCGGGAGAAAGTGAGGGACCGACCGCGATGTAGCTATCTATCCGTCTGCAGTAAATTAGCCCGAGTGAGAAAGAGTAAGATGAAATGGGATATCTTGGCGTTTAACCATGTCTTGTGAGAACCCTCGTGGAGGTACATGCGGCGGATCAACTTGAAATTCACGAATATTCTTATGGTGCTGGATTCTTCTTAGTCAGCCAGCGTCCCTTGTCACGTGAGAGAACCCGATTCCCAATGCAGCCTGAAGTGACTAGCCCGATTCGGCATCAGGCAGCCTAGTTCTGTCCACTCAGCGATGATGACGTTGTGGGGTCTCCTGTCTTGGCTCCTAAAGAAAAGCAGTGTGATTGGCTCTGTCGCAGTCCCCATCCATCCCTTTTCGGGGCGGGAAGAGTTGTGATGGAGCACTACACAGTACTACACAGTACATACCTAGTACTACTAGAGTACAGAGTACTTGGCTCAGGCGCTGGCTTCCCATTGGTAATCACTCTGAGGGACGTGAGACACGCCAATGACAGATCAATGCCTTCCGGTGTATTTGAATGTTGTCCAATGGGTCAATGGAACCATTCACTATTCGTTGGGTCAAGGTGGTATTGGTAATTGGTGGTATTGGCACCCTTGGCACGCTGGAGCTTCCCGCCTGCGCCTCCCCACCAATGGTCCCCAGGCCCCCCCCAAGGCTCCAGCTGAAAAAGAAGAAAGAAAAAAAGTATCCCCCTTAAACTTGTTGTACCTGGTCGTGAGATCTTGGATCTTTTCCCACTACTAATTACTACTACTACTACTACTACTACTACTCTGTACGAAGTACTGAACACTACTCCGTACTGACCGCCTCTCACTCTCTTTCTCGTCTCGGCGGCTTCGCTCCTATTACACATCACGTCATTATTGTCCCTATCGTCGCTAAATATCCATCGGCCTACTCTCCTACTACTACTGCTGCTGCTCTACTACTACTGTCCACCCTCTTTATTCTATACCATCATCCAACAGAGTCCATGATTGTTTCTTTGATCTGCCCGCCGTAGAATGATCCACTGAATCAGGTGTTCCCTGATTTCTCCCCCCTTTTCTCCCTGAACATCAAACTACCGCCCCTCGCCAGGAGAATGCGCTGGCTGAGTTTGCGCCAACTCTGCGGGGCCACATTGCTGCTCCTGCAGCAGGTGGCCCTAGCAGATCTTGGGATTCAAGCGAATAATGTCGGTATGTTTGTTCTTTGATCCATGGCCCACCGTGTCTTGTCTTCCCCTAACGCCATGGATGGCCAGAAACACTCAAGTCAGCCGGCAAGGACCTCGCCGCCCCCATGATGGACTTCTACAAGAAGAACCAGACCGAGGGGATTCCCGGCAAGCTCACGGGGACGTGGTATGTCGCCGGCGCCATGTTCATGACGCTCATCCAGTACTGGCAGGCCTCGGGCGACGACACCTACAACTCCATCGTGTCACATGACCTGATGTTCCAGTCGGGCGAGAATTACGATTTCTTCTCGAAGAATTACAGTCAGTGGCTGGTATGCGGGTTTGGCCCCCGAAGCGTAATCGCTCTCGGTGAGATTGATGCTGATGCTTCCAGGGTAATGATGATCAAATGTTCTGGGGGTTGGCCTCCATCACCGCTTCCGAGACAGGCTTCCCCGACATCTCGGGCAAACCGACATGGACCTCGCTCGCTCGCGTTGTCTTCAACATGCAGGTCGAACGTTGGGATAGGGGCACCTGCGATGGTGGCATGCGCTGGCAGATCTGGCCCTATCAGGCCGGCTATACGATGAAGAATGCCATCTCCAACGGTGGTCTTTTCGAGCTGTCGGCCCGACTGGCGCGCTTCACCAAGAACGGGACCTACGCCGACTGGGCCGAGAAGATCTGGGACTGGTCCGTCACTACGCCCTTGCTGCAGACCGACCGATGGTACATCGCCGACTCAACGTCCAACGAAGCCAACTGCAAGGATGCCGGCAACACGCAGTGGTCGTACAACTACGGCACCTACCTGTCCGGAGCCTCTTTCATGTATAATTATGTTCGTATACCCCTTCCCCCCCCCCCCAACCTCCAAGCCGTCCGATTACCTCTTCAGGGGGAGCTATGACCAGAAAACTAAGTGAATCTCCAGACCAACGGGGACCAGAAATGGCTCAACCGCGTGAATGGACTGTTGGATTCGCTCTTGGCCACCTTCTCCCCCAAGCAACTCGGCGGCAACGTCCTGTCGGAAGTGGCTTGTGAGCCCATCATGACCTGCGATCGAAATCAGCTCGGGTTCAAGGGGTATGTAGCCATGTGGCTGGCGCAGACGTCCATCCTCGTCCCCTCGACCGCAGATCGCATCTACCCCGTGCTGCAGGGGTCTGCTCTGGCCATCTCCAAACAGTGCTCCGCGCCCGACAACACCTGCGGCATGCGATGGTACCAGCCCACCTGGGATGGATACACTCCCGGACTAGAGACACAGATGGCCGCTCTCGCCGGCGTCACCTCGAACCTGATGTTCTTCAAGTCCGCTGCCCCCAAGACCATCGAGTCGAACCCCGACGGCAAGGAACATCAGATTGCTACTCCGGGGGATGAAAGACCGGACCAGCTGGCGCCAATCAACACGGGGGACCGCGCCGGAGCGTGGATTCTCACCGTCGTGATTGTCGTGCTCGTGGGAGGCTCGGTCGGCTGGTTGATTAAGACTTAGGCGGGATGCCAGCACTTGTGGATTGTTAGGCTTCATTGGATCGGAATGATCTGTTTTATTCGGCGTGATCCGGAGCTAATTTATGTTTATATATCTTTGATTGGATATGGGCCATACCTTTTTTTACCATCTTGTATTAATTGTTTATATATATACGATGCAGGAGATTGTCAGTTTGTTAACTTTTGGTACTAAAAATGTCTGCCTCAGGGATCAGGCACCACCCAATTTCGCACCCCTCGAACACCAATTCTTTAACCGCTTTTTCTTCTTCCCAACCCGCATCTCATCAATCATTTGCGGTTACAATTGGACTGGCCAACAGTAGCCCCCTTCCCATCTCACAATGTCCAACAATCAACTCAGAGATGCTCTCATTTTCCCAGACTCGGACCGCGCATTTCTAGAGCCCCATCTTCCGCCCCAGAATGCCACATTTTCCACCACGAAAACCCTTCCCTTCACCACCCTCACTTTTGCTACCTCCCTCGACTCGTCTCTGGCTCTTTCTCCTGGCGCCCGCACCGTGCTGTCAGGCCCTCAATCGAAAGCCATGACCCACTTTCTCCGGTCGCGTCATGATGCCATCCTGATCGGAGTGGGCACCGCGGTGGCAGACGATCCGGGCTTAAATTGCCGCATCCAAGGTGTCGGCGGGTATGGGGCCGACGGACTTCAGGGGCAGCCCCGACCGATCATCATTGATCCCAGCTGCCGGTGGGACTTTACCGAGTCCTCGAAGATCTTGTCGCTGGTCCGGGAGGGCCGCGGTCGGGGCCCCTTTATCATCACCGGGGTGCAGTCCCCGCCCAGCGAAAGGAAGGCGCTGCTGGAGAGGCACGGCGGCAAGTTCATCACGCTGGATGCCATGACGACTGCAGCCGGCGAGCACCGCATGGATTGGTCGGTAGTGCTTGAGTGTCTTAAGACGGAAGGCCTGGGGAGCGTCATGGTCGAAGGAGGAGGGACCATCATCAATTCTCTGCTGGATCCCTCGTCGCAGCACCTGATCGATTCGGTCATTGTGACCATCGCTCCGACATGGCTCGGCCAAGGCGGCGTGGTCGTTTCGCCTAAACGACGGTTCGACGCACGAGGTGAAGCCATTCCAGCGTCGCGACTGACGGAGGTGAAATGGTATCCGTTCGGAGAGGACGTTGTGATGTGTGGAAAAATCATGGCTTAGTTGACTTGGGACCGGTCGGTCGCCTTTCGAATGCTTCCGCACCTTTTCAGGTCGGGTCATAATCCCCACGATATCAAGCCAGTCTGAATTCAAGTCCATATCTATGTATATGCGAATACAAGGGAGATTGGGGATCTTTCAACTACTACGGTGCTGAGACCTCCGTGGTATCTGAGTGCGCAGCTGGCTTGCTTCGCACCGTCACCGCCATTTCGAGATCTTGACCCAGGATCATCCTTTCTTCGTCCTGAAGAGACACCTCCTTGATGAGGCGCCGTTGGCGCTTGTACATTCGCCAGAACACAACACTGCCATGGATCTGGGCCGCGGAGAATGCTACATGCAAGAGCGGCGTCGCAATTTTGAATGACAGCTCCCATCGGTCCCACAGACTACCGAAGAGCCACATGGTCACAATGGTTTCACACGTCGTGCCCGTGGCGGTGGTGATGCACGACAGGAGGAACACTCGGCTGAGAAAATGATGCCGATTTGGGAACACGCGGTAGATGATGATGGCGATATGAGGGAAGAATTCGGAGATGATATCGAAGGCGCCTGCAGAGTGAGCTCACGGCCAGACAGTCTATCTTCACCCGAATGACACTTGTGGACGTACCCCATACTGTACACAGAATGAACTCAATGTCCGCATCTGGTTCTCGTGCCAACCGGAGACTGATGGCAAGCGCCGACTGGCCGATGAGGATCGTCCCCATATGGTGGAGGACGGCAATGGGTGAGAGCTTGACGCGGTAGATGAGCTCAAAGAGGTACATGGCGATCAGCATCTGGGCCACGACTACCATCACGTCCCCCATGGTGGCCGCACTGCCGTGTGCATAGGCAGTATTAAAGGTCGCATTGCCAAAGGTGACGACAACGAAGGGATAGGCAGCGACTATCAAAATGACAATCTTGGTCACCCCGGCGATATGGTGATTAATGAATCCGCGCCGGTTTAGTTCGTCCAAGTTCGTGTAGATCGGTCCGTACAGCTTCTTGATGAGAAATCCTTCCAAGATGTAGAACCGGATGAGAAAGAGGACGACCAGGACCACCGAGATGATCAACGCGGAGAAGGGGACGAGTTCGGAGATGGGCTGGAGAGGGAAGTCTTGAAGTCGTGTATGATCATGACGCGAGACCAACGTGGGGGACATCACGTCTGCCAGGGAAAACTACAGGGACGGAGCGAGTAAGATCCTTGAAATGAGAGAAGCGTAAGAAATCCAGGGACTCTGGCGATTGAGCTTCATTTTGAAGGTTAATGTCTGACTATGCGAGATGGACACGCTGGTATGATCCTTCTGGCTCTCCACGGCCGGCTACATATTGCCGCGACTTGTGAAGACAATCTCCGCTCCACGTCTCCGTAAAAAGACTAAAAAAAGGGGGGACCTTTCCTCCGTACTTCCTCTTTTTCTTTTCCCCTTTTCTGCAAGACTGGTGGTATCATGGTATGCAGGGTTTGTTGGTGGTGGCGCCAATCCATGACCAACCCGGTGAAGCAAAAAGAAGTGAGTGAGCTGATCAAGGTTAAGCTTTTAGAGTAAAAGCTTCGATCTGGAGATCGATCCTACTAGACAGACAAGTAGGCAGTAGGCAACCGCCAATCCGGGATCTATCTATATATGGAATGTGACATGGAGGAATCTCGTGAAAAGTTGACCAGTCAGGCAGTACACTACCAGAGTACCTACTCGGTATGCTACATATGCTGTTTGGGACATTCAGCCGTTAATAATTCAAACCGATTCTTGATCATTCTTCGCAGGACAGATTGGATCCACAATAGGCAGCCATGTTCCTCTGAAATGAAATGAAACAGAAAAGAGATTCAACATTCGGGAAGAACGCTGTGGCCAACTGGCTTGAGTGGAGTGGTGGCTGCCAACGCCCGTGGTTGAATTGCTGAGAGAACCACGATGCTCGTAGCCATCACTATCTCGTTTTCAATCTCCCTGGTTATGCCGTTCTGTTATTATTCTTACTCAATCATTATGACTATCCTGTATGCACTAACTACGCAGAAATGGTTGTGTTCTGGTCCCCGCGTATGCCTGAGGCAGCCAGTTCTGCACGTGACTATCATCGCGCGGTGTCTCTGAAGTCTGAATTCGTTTTCCATCCATGGAATCTCGGTTCATCGTCTGTATAGACGATCCTGAGTATCAACTATCTGAAAGCATATGGCCTATTCGATTCAGGGGCCTGATGCCATTGGACTAGCTGAACAACAGTACGGCCCGACTCGACTGATCGAACGGCTCCCTCGGAGCACACCACGTCATCGACTTCGGCCCATGAACAATGATGCTGCTTTACCAGAGGCACAATGAGCAGAGAAAAACTGGATCTCGGTCTCACTGCAATGAGATGTCAGTCCGTTGACATGGGGGATATTAAACCCCCTCTCCGGCCACTGCTCTCTTGTCCACTTTCCCCCCGGATCTGTTCCCTCCTCGTTATTCTACTTGGCTACGGGCTTCCTATTCTTAATAACTTCGAATAATTGCTAATAGAGGAGGATTACCTAGCATGACGTCAAAAGTAGAAACCGAAAGCATCTCCGCATATGGGGCTGCACGTTCTACGATCACAGGTAGTCCTCTCAACAATGAGGACCTGCGCAAGACCGACGCCTACTTCCGGGCGAGCTTGTACCTCTGTCTTGGAATGCTCTACCTGCGGGCCAATCCTCTCCTAAAGGAACCCCTCACAGTGGAGCATCTCAAGGCCCGATTGCTCGGCCACTGGGGGTCGGATGCCGGCCAAGCTTTTACCTATATCCACATGAACCGGCTCATCAAGAAGTACGGCTTGGATGTGTTGTTCATCTCTGGTCCTGGACACGGTGCACCCGGTGTCTTATCCCAGTCATACCTCGAAGGTGTCTACACCGAGGTCTATCCGGATAAGACAGAAGACGAAGCAGGAATGCAACGGTTCTTCAAGCAGTTCTCCTTCCCCGGTGGCATTGGGAGCCACGCAACTCCCGAAACTCCCGGTAGTCTCCACGAGGGAGGAGAACTCGGCTACTCCATCTCTCATGGCTTTGGCGTCGTCTTTGATCATCCAAAGCTCATTGCCTTGACCATAGTGGGCGACGGTGAGGCTGAAACCGGTCCCTTGGCCACCAGCTGGCACAGCAACAAGTTCTTGAACCCCGTCACGGATGGTGCAGTGCTCCCAGTCCTGCATCTCAACGGATACAAGATCAACAATCCGACCGTTCTGGCGCGCATCAGCCACGAGGAACTCGAGATGCTGCTCAAGGGCTACGGGTGGACCCCCAACTTTGTCGAGGGCAGTGACCGCGACAGCATGCACCAGGCCATGGCGGCCACCTTGGAGCACTGTGTCTTAGAGATCCGTAAAATCCAGCAGCAGGCACGCGAATCTGACAAGCCCTTCCGTCCCCGGTGGCCCATGATCGTCCTACGCAGCCCCAAGGGATGGTCCGCCCCGCGTGAGGTCGACGGGGAGTTACTCGAGGGGTACTGGCGCGCGCATCAGATTCCCATCCCTGATGTGCGAAATAACCTGTCCCACCTGAAGGTGCTGGAAAATTGGATGCGGTCATATAAGCCTAACGAGGTCTTTGACGAGAACGGCAGATTGATTTCCGAGCTCAGGGAATTGGCCCCAATCGGCAATTCTCGTATGAGCGCCAACCCGGTTGCCAACGGCGGTCTCCTCCGTCGTCCGCTCGATCTACCCAATTTCAGGGACTACGCGCTCACTGATATTGAGCCCGGTGTCAGCATCCGTCCCAGCATGATCAATATGTCCCGCTATCTGCGAGACGTGGTGGCCAAAAATATGACCACGTTCCGCGTCTTTGGGCCCGACGAAACCCAGTCGAACAAGCTCGGCGAGATCTACGAGGCTGGGAAGAAAGTCTGGCTGGCGGATTACTTCAAGGAGGATGAGGATGGTGGCAACCTAGCCATGCAGGGCCGCGTGATGGAGATCCTCAGCGAACATACTTGTGAGGGCTGGCTGGAAGGCTATATTCTGTCCGGTCGCCACGGCATGCTCAATAGCTACGAACCATTCATCCATATCATCGACTCGATGGTCAACCAACACTGCAAATGGATTGAAAAATGCCTCGAGGTCGAATGGCGCGCCAAGGTTGCGTCCCTCAACATCCTCCTGACTGCTACCGTGTGGCGCCAGGACCACAATGGTTTCACACACCAGGACCCTGGCTTCCTGGACGTAGTCGCCAACAAGAGCCCTGAAGTGGTGCGAATCTACCTGCCCCCAGATGGCAACACCTTGCTGTCAACCATGGACCACTGTTTTCAAAGCGTCAACTACGTCAACGTCATCGTGGCCGACAAGCAAGAGCACGTGCAATTTCTCAACATGGAGGAGGCGATTGAACACTGCACCAAGGGACTGGGTATCTGGAACTGGGCTAGCAATGATCAGGGCCATGAGCCCGACGTCGTGATGGCCGCATGCGGCGATGTGCCCACGCACGAAGCGCTGGCCGCAACGGCACTACTGCGGGAACATCTGCCCCAGCTCAAGGTGCGCTTCGTCAACGTCGTCGACCTCTTCCGGCTCATCTCGCGCAAGAACCACCCGCACGGCATGTCCGACCGCCAATGGAAGGCCATCTTCACCACCGATAAGCCTGTCATCTTTAACTTCCACTCCTACCCCTGGCTCATCCACCGTCTCACCTACAACCGGCCAGGCCAGCACAACTTGCACGTCCGGGGCTACCGGGAGAAGGGCAACATCGACACGCCCTTCGAGCTCGCCGTGCGCAACCAGACGGACCGATTCAGCTTGGCCATGGACGCCATCGATCGTTGCACGTCGTTGGGCAATACTGCTTCGGGGGTTCGTGAGAAACTGATCAACCAGCAGCTGGCGGCCAAGAACAAGGCGTATGACGATGGCATAGACCCAGATTACATTCGCAGTTGGACATGGGATTATCCAAGGAAGAAGTAATGAATACCAAGCCTTGAAGACATAGAATGTTGAAAGCTACACATGGATTTAGATCTAATTAGCATTGACCAGTAATCTTTGATCAGTGATTCATTCCCGATCTTCAGGTTTAGATTCATTGGTCATAAGTATAATGACTTGGGATATTCCCTTGTTGTCATACTGTCTTACACTATGAGTGTTTAACACTCAAGTCTGAAACACCTATTATGGTAGTAGTCTTTGGCATATTACTGTTGTTCGTCATCTGGAGTAACTCTGAAGCTTTCAGTTAAGATAGATTTTTATTCTTTGTGTTTGGTTGCATGCTTTGTAGCTTGCTCTGTGAAGGGTTATCCTGAGAACAATCTTCTCTTTGTTACCAGTACATATATATATATATATATATATCTCTCTCTCCAGCATCCAGAGGATCAGAAGGTACACAATTGAATTTTTGTCTATGTACTGTGATAGCTTCACAACACTCCCTATGTAGCTGTGATACATATTTTCAGATATATTAAGAATGGCGAGTTGAGTTTTGACTTCCACTTATTCTCCACACACCTGATGATTCCTAGGACCAGTACAGCCCTGAACTTCAGCAAAAGATCTGCAGCCTCAGCGTCTCGCCCATGAGGAAGACTGAGGTACATGAACTGTGGACAGAAATCCTGGAGTTCTATTTTCCAACACCAAAAGATGATCCCACACCTGACACCGTATCTCATCGAGGTGTCTCATAGCCCAACACGCCCCTTCGTGCATACTTCTGTTCAAAATAATCTAGGTATGTATCCAGGAACTCCTTTTCTTGTCCTTCAATGCAAGAGCGCCCCGAGTCCCGGAGCACTTCTACCTTCGCATCAGATTGAATGGCATCTCAAAGACAAGCTGATGGGGTTGCCGGACAGCATCCAGCCGCACGATGGACTGGAGATGCACGGCATTATCACCTACGGACCCCGCGTGCGGTTCTACAGATTGATGGCCAACCGTATCTTTGGTTGCTGTCTCTGGGAGGGCAAAGACCATTTGCACATCCTCGATGATCATGATAGCATTGCCCAGCACCTCACCGAGATCAAGAGCGATTGGCTATCAACCAATGCTCCCGGTGGCATTTAATAGATGGAACCATAAGACGCCATACCCTCCTCATTAAGATGAGACAGCAGCCATCAGGATGAGATCGCAGATGGATTCTAGGCGTTACAGTAAGCTCAATTTTCGCTCCATGGCAACATACAGATCCTTCTGACGCCAATCATTCATTCGCTTCCTGCCATCTAGATGCGAAAGCCGATCAGGGTGTCAATTAGACTGCGTGAATTCACAAATGCGAATCAATTGACCTTTCCAAACATGGTATGTCCATGGAAACTTTACAAGTGCGTAACTCCGTCCCTGCCCAGGTAGTAGTTTCTATCGACATCAGACAGGATAGAAATGTAATGACTAATGATCTTGCTGTCATGTCATTCATCGTGCAAGCGCTTCGTGTATCATGATCTGGCGTTGCTAAAGCAACCACAGAACGATCTCAAGACGAATCGTATAGGAAGAGGTCTTGTCTGCGTCAGCGGGAGATATGATAGGAAAAATTCTGGAATTTGACTAACCATCGGATAGTGGCACAAAGCTGTCCTGGGAAGCTTCTTCGACAACTGGATCAAGATTGAGTGTATCAGAAGCTTCGCTAACAACGACCCTTTCCTCAGTCACGGCATTTTCTGAAGCGTTTGGAGTGGTCTCATCCAGACGACTCGGTGGGTTTTCACTGTTTCGTTCTGATTTTGGTTCCTCCACTTCGTAAGCGGGATTGACGAGCCGCTTAAAGGCCACTTCGCCTGCGTTGATTTTTTCGAAAACATGCTGACGTGCAGCGCGATGATTGGGCGGCAGTACTCTGCTTGTGGCCAGAAAGCTTCCGCCAAGAGCGGAGGTATAATCTCGCTTCACGAACACAAGGATCTCCTGGGTCCTGGATAGCATCTTGGCCTCCACAGATCTGACCATGTCTTCAAGAGCCTGCTTGACCGTGTTCACACTTTCATGAAACATGGACCACCGAGCTTCTTCCACATGGGCGGCCATTGTCGCTTTCATTCGCATAAAACTCCCAATTCCTATATAAGGACGTTAGCGGCACCTCAACCTTCGCGAAAAGTGGCTCATACCGCGCTCAGCAACGCAAGTCTTGTAGGCAGGTTCAAGTGCAGTACCAATCACGGGCTGGAACATGCGGTTGATCTCCTTTGATTGAGCCACAATCGTTGCCATATTCTCGTTGCAAATATCCTTCAGGAGCTCTTGATAGTTGTGCAATTGGTGAGACAGCAGATGCAAACTTGCGATAGGTCCATTTCGGCTGGCTTCCTGCTCTATGTCTTCATGAAATGATTTCAGCAGGCGGCCTGCATCGGAGGCAGCGCCCTGTAAGAGGGATTGAATGCGCCGGGAAAAGGTTTTCTCCCACCCGGAAGCAACGGCCTTGATAATAGGCTGAATCATTTCGGCGTTCCAGTCATGAGGTCCCTGAGCGTTTGCATACACCCCATTACGGCGGCATATAGCTTTGTACGTGGCCCAGAAGTAGCCTCCAGAGGTGCGGTCGTTACGGTTAACCGGCGCCCCCCATCGAAGCACAGTCTTGTTTGCTTCAACTGCGGCGGGGGTGAGGGCATCCTCTGCTCTACAGTCAGTAATCTGAAAAAGGATTGGCAAGAATTCTAATGAAAAATGGCTTACTGCAGGCGTCGAATATGTTGTCATTGAATTCTCCCCGGATGTGTTCATGCACGCCTCCGACGTGTTTCCCAAGCTTCTATCATTCGATGGCGTGGTCAGCAGCAATTCATAACTGGAGGTATACTACCGTTCACATGAAAATGAAGAAGAACACGAAGGAGAAAAGAACCCATACAGTAAATGCGGGTAAGAACCGTTTGGACTTACACTCTCGAGCTTCTGGATCTTATCCTGGATCATCGTGGATTGTCGGGCCTTTTGGGCGTCAGTGAGATGACTACCATGCCTATCTGGGGAAGACCACAAGCGAAGAGAGTTCAGGAGCTGATTGAGACTGTTCAAAAATCGTCGAGAATTGGACTCTCGGCTCACTTCGGTGAGCTTTTTACAATGAGCCTGAAGCTGAGGGATTTCAGTCTCTTCCACTGTCTGGAATCCGGGTATGTCTGCTTCTTTCCGCAATCGCCCTTGCAGCTTCTGGTAGCCTCGGGACGAAACGCAGAAGACAGGCAGGGATTGTGCGACCTTGTCATAATCGCGAGCGTCAACATCTGGGTTGAAATTCGCGGCATCCTCCTCTTCGGCAAGCTCCTGATCCAACTCCTTGACACCAGCGGCAAAATCCTGCCGAATCGCACCGCGGGAATAGTCATTTCGACCAGAAATGGCTATTGCTCTCATCTTGGCTTCGATTTTTGCGTCCGCCTCGTCAATATCGGAGATCTTCGCTCGAATTTCTTTGATCTGAACTTCGAGATCTTGCTTGTGGCGACGGCTTTCTTTCTTCGTGGTCTTCAGTTCTGAGATCTTCTGGCTAATCTCTTCTTTGGTGAGCGGAGTGCGAGTCGCCTCTGGCTGCTCTTCTCCAGCGTCACTTTCCTCATCAGAATCCTCGCTAGACTGATCAGTGTCGACAAAGTCGCTCCCACCATCGCTCTCTGGAGTTCGCGCCTTCTTCCGTCCCTTGGAAGTCTTGCTGCTTGAGCCACGTTTTCGCTTTTTGGAAGCTGACTGGTCTTGGGGAGCAAAAACAGTTTTCCCATCGTCGAGATCGTCTTTCAGTGCCTCCCATACTTCTAGCAGTTCGTCGACGTCGTCCGCCGAAGCCGTGTAAACCGCTTTGGTTTCCTTCATCTCTTCCAGACGCCGTTTGAGCTCTTGCTTCTCCTTGGCAAGTTCGTCGGACTTGGCCTAATGTGCTCCTATCTCCTCCTCCAGGCCCAATGATTCTTGGCACTCAATCAGACTGATATCGTCCGTCTTGCTGCAAATGAAGGTGACAGTGTTGAACCCGCCATCCATCTTTAGCTGCCGCTTGAAAGTGTCGCCGAGGAGCGATTTCGCCGCCTTGTCGTCGACAGCTCGCGTGATGGGAGCCACAATCCACAGGCCGGTACATTGCTTCATGTAACCTTCTGCCACGGCAGAGCGAGCGGCATTGGAGTCGTGAACGCCCGGCAAGTCGACGATGACAGCGCCGGTTGATAGTGCCTCAGCCTTCACGTATAGGCGTACAACTTTGATCAGAGGCCAGAACTCCAGCTCTCTGGCAGGCTTCTTTTTGTCTTTGTCCTTTTCTCCCGTGGTTTTCTCTTTGCTATCGACAAAATATTGGAGTTTCTTGTAAAAGGGAAGAGAATCGGATTCGGCAATCTGCCGCTTTCCCCCGAGCACATTTTGGACGTTGGGATGCGCCATCAGTTGCTCAACTGTACTCTTCTGCAGCATCTCTCTGGTAAATTTGGGGTACACTGCCTTGATCTTGGCATACGCTACACCCGCCTCGCTCTCCTCATTGGTGGCCTCACGAGAGACGTTGCCGCTGCCATCGAAGAGATCTTGAAAGAGGACCCGGAGCTCCCTTTCCCAGTCTGCTCGCGTGATAAATTCGATCTCAGCCCGATAGGGGTCGTCGGCGGTATTGTAGGAGATCTCGGTTACCACCGCGGTGCAGGCTCGCATGCAGTTGGTCGGCACTAGCCGTTCCTCATCGAGCATGGCATTAATGACGGAGGACTTTCCAGCCCCAGTGTTACCGACCACGCCGACAATGGTTTTAGGCTGCGCGGCCTGACTCTGCACTTTCTCAATCGCCCGAAGCCATTGGGAGGCATCTTCAATGGCGACTCGACCAAGCGGCTCTTTCAAGTCTTCAAGTAATTTGACTCCTTGCTGCATGGCAGCCTCGAGAAGCTCAGGGGTGCTCTCCGCGAAAAGGCTCTGGAGAGAAAGTTGGGGCAAAACCTTTGGTTCCGGCTGGTCTGCTGCTGGCAGTGGCGTGTGGGGCTTGTTCCCATGGAGGGGGGGTGGTGTGTCTGGAGTTCGGACAGAAGGCGGATCAGTTGAAAGCAAGGGAGGCAGTTGATTATGCCGCATCTTCCGTCCTTTCTCAATCCAGATGCTTCTGGAAGCTGTATTCAATCGATCCCAGTCTTGCTTCATCGTAATGAAGGCTTGGTCTAGATCTTGTTAGAACCAGATTAATTGAGAGGCATCTTGGGGAAACTAACCTGGACCGTGGATGTCCATGTAAACAGCGTAGACGGATTTCCGGGGGAAGAAATACTGGTAGAATCCGGCATTCTGATTTGTGAACAGAGTCATGGAGGCGTTGTTGGCGCGAGTGAACAAAAGAGCCCGTTTCCTGTACCATTCTCGGGCTTCTGGTAACATAATCTGCCATTTGGCAACCAACTCTTTCCGATGATGCTCTAAATTCGATTAACGACACTACTCCAAGAGCGCATGGCAAAAGCGTACCCACCAATGGACACATCGGAGTGCACACAACCATGAAAGATATCCGTCAAGCGCTCATGGATAAAATCCCGCCTGGCGCACTCTGCGAGAAAGTCGTGAGATCCAGCGGGTATCGCATGAAAGGTCTGGATAGTCTGACTCGGGGTGGGAAGCGATACGGGAGATTCTTGTTTGCATAACGTCCCAGGACCGAATGTCTTAAGCGGAGGAATGAGGTTTTCATGGTCAGGTGGCCAATTCTGTGGTTCAGGCTTGACCAGCGACTCTGGTTGCACGTTTCTGGCATCTACAGGAGCAAGGGTTGATAACGGCTGGAGGGGATCACGCTGGGGCGGGCTGGTCCGAGAAACTAAATCCGACTGCTTGATGGACTCGAGAGCAATGACACCATCAAAAAAGGAATCCAACTCCCCAATGGTTCTCGTCGAATCGACGATCAGACCGTTATGTCGAAGCAGTATGGGTTGTGGGTCAATACTTCGTAACCGGCATTGTTTTTTGATTGCTTCTATTTTGGTGTGCTGGAAAGCGATAATGCCAGAATCAGCATGTCTGCAGCCTTATCCCCCCTGTTCCCGCCACGCTTCACTTACACTGCGGCATTTGATCCATAGGATGTCTGCGCCGTAGTCGGCAGTGAGGATTGTCTTGCTGTCATGCAGCACGCCAACCCAAAAGGTGTTCGGAGTCAGGGGCTCATCCGGTCGCTTTGACTTGACATTGTCGTGGAAGTTACTAATGCAATGCAATTCACCAGTAGTCAGATCTCATAGTAGTAGATGATGAGGGGCGAATGACTTGAGTGGAGAGGGATCTCATCTCACATGGCATTAGCATCCACGGGTCGGAGTGACGGGAGCGACATTTTTGAGCATCAACGAGCGAGGAGACCAGGAATGTACACACGGCCAGCAATCATATTCAAGATGGGATATGGATGATTTCTCAGCTTGGCTGGAGTGACATGGAGGATAGCGATGGCATCTTTCTGTAGGTGACAGAGAGGTGATTTGCTTCTCAGTGATGCTAAACAAAAAAGTCGCGTCGCGCATGAGAGGCATATGTCCCGATTGGGCCTAGCTCGTCCATGCACCCAGCCTTTACCTTACTGGGTTTAGCTGATCCCGTGATAGCCATTATCATGTGTTTGGTCTGAAGACTTGGAGCCTGAGGCTCGATATACACACAGACACTTCAGAGATGGCACATTCATTTTGTGTCGGGCTACCGTCCCTTGACGCTTTGCTCGATCATAAACTCCATCTTGAAACTCGAAAGCCTGCTCTCTGGTATCATATCATTGCTACTGGCGATGGATCCACCAACAGCATTTGTCCAGGCTAGATGCCATGGAGGTGAAAAAATCCCCACAAATGGGTTGCTCTCGGTCTGTGATGCTATAACTTGACGACCTAGATGTCAATGACTCAATACACGTCCCAATAGCTTTGAGCTAAGACCAGAGTCTGAGCGGGACCGAAGGATTATTGGATAGTCAACTAACTACCGGACCGACTTGCCGATCATATTGCTCATTCCCTGGGTCTTGTTGAAGCCCCTCGACATGTGCAGCTAAAAGCCCGGTATGCAATACAACAATTTGCAAGGTCTGGTGCATGCCGTTGCCCAACTCATGGTTTGCTGTCGGTTGATGCATCTTAAATGCAAGCGTCACCCTCCATTTAGGCTATGCCCGGCGTCCTTGATTCACTGTTCATTATTGGCATATTAGCCTAATTGACCTACAGAACCTTGCTTGATCGATATCACCTTCGGCAGATGAAACGCGGGGAGAGGTGGATTCGTCAGACCAGCAGACAGGAGAGGAATTCTTCGTATCTCCCAGAAGGTGTTTCGGAAAAGACACGGTGAACCCGCGCCATGCCCCTGGTTCTTTGCCTCGCAACCGATGAGGAATCGGTGCATCTGGCCAAGTCCTTGTAGTACGCTGGCACATTGGCGCATTGGAATAGCTTGCTTGACTCGACCAAGTATATCCATATCTTGCGGCTAAAACAGCGTCGGACTGATGTGTCCACATCACTTGAGCATGTCTCGCCCACCAATTACTATAACCTGTAGAAGCCAATGGACTGAGGATAATCAATTTCGGGCGAAAGGATGCTCCAGTTACACTTAGATTGCGGGATGGATGCCGCTTGCTGGCAAAGGCTTGGTCTATAAAAGAGAGAACTGGGGGCGTTCAGAACCCGCTACAGACTGTCCACAGTTATTCTTGTTTCTCGAGACATACCCTCATCAGACATGCTCTTCACCGCTGTCACTCTCGCTCTGCTGGGCCAAGCATTGGCTAGTGCCCTGGATCTGGAGGAGCGCCAGAGTAGTTGTCCCAATATCCATGTCTTTGGCGCTCGTGAAACCACCGCACCCGCTGGCTATGGTTCGTCTTCGACGGTGGTCAATCTGATCCTCAATGCCTACCCAGGCTCTACCTCGGAGGCGATCAGTTATCCTGCGTGTGGAGGCCAATCTTCCTGTGGAGGAGTCAGCTATGCCAACTCGGTGGTTGCAGGTATCAACGCCGTGGCGAGCGCTGTGAACACCTTCAACCAGAAATGCCCCCAGACCCAGCTGGTTCTCGTGGGATATTCCCAGGTGGTTCCCTCTTCTTTTTCATGGATATTCTAGTATGATATCTGACCGTACGACAGGGTGGTCAAATCATGGACAATGCCCTTTGTGGTGGGGGAGATCCCAACCAGGGGTATACCAACACGGCTGTCGCCCTGTCCGCTTCGGCCGTCAACATGGTCAAGGCAGCCATCTTTATGGGCGACCCTCGCTTCATCGCCGGTCTGTCCTACGAGGTTGGCACCTGCAAGGTTGCTGGGGTATGCGCTTCTCGAGCATCTTTTCATTCTCTTCCTTCTTTGAGGACATGTCTAATACTCGTGGCTATCCAGTTTGATCCGCGCCCCCCCGGCTTTAACTGCCCCAGCGGTAGCAAGATTCAATCGTACTGTGATGCCGCTGACCCATACTGCTGCAACGGAAACGATGCCAACACCCACCAGGGCTATGGAAGTGTCTATGGCCAGGCTGCCCTGACCTTTGTGAAGAGCAAACTGAGCTCCAGCAGCTCGGGTGGCGGCTCTGGAGGTGGCTCCGTAGGTACTGGCGGTACCATTGCTCGCTATGGACAGTGTGGAGGCCAAGGCTGGACCGGTGCCACCAGCTGCCAGAGTCAGTATACCTGCACGGCCGTTAGCCAGTGGTACTCTCAATGCCTGTAAATGTGGGTCATATTGGAAAGCCATGGTTGGCCATGAACCTGGTTTTCGAGAAAACGAGGGACCACTGATTGTGTTCAATGCGCTTTACTTTTATTCTGTCGCTACTTTTTTTGATTGCCCAATGAGCAATGAGAGTTCTGAAAATGTTGGGCTTGGGGGTCGAACTTGACGGTGTTCCTCCGATACATACTGCGCTCACCTTGCTGAGCTGTTGATTGAAAGGCTGATCGCCTGGCTTCCAATACATAGTCCTATGTTTCGGAGAGCTAGGTTACATATGCCAGGATGATCCGTCCGAGGTTTAAACTCCCAGTTAATTTCCAAGCAACAGAAATCATCCCCAGCGGCCAAGATGAATCCTATAGTCCTAAAAGTAGATAAGATATAAGAAATATTAAAAAGAGTGAATATCACCATAACCAAGGCAGCCTACTACGAAGCTATTTGCGAATGACACCTCGCACCATTGCGCCTCGATCAACCAGCCACTGCACAATTTGAACTTTCCCTGATCTAGTTCTTTTCCGCGACGATGGTAGGTAAATGGGACCCCGTATCCAGCGCCAAGTGTAGCGCAGTGGGACCATGACCGGGACAGTCATAGGAGCTGGTGTCAACACCTATGCTGGCAAAAATATTGACACCCCTTTCGAGCAAGAGTTGACGATCTCAGGCTGACCACTCATAGCAGCGAGGTGAAGGGGCTGTCCTTTCCAGGGACGGGAGTGCCCTGGTATGACCCTGTAGGCTTGATATTTGTCTCCTTCCACGCCACTGTCGCCGCATGTACGTCCGCTCCTGCCTCGATGAGGATCTTGACGATATCCGTAAGGCCGCTAAAACAGGCTACCTATATGCAACGGACACCATCCGTACCACTGCTCTCTCTCAATGTCAGCACCGCGATGGAGAAGAAGGGAAAAGATTTCCCTATGTTCATGCTCGGGTGTATAACTGAGCGCGAGTAATTATTTGCTAAAGGTAAATTAGTTACATAAAAACTTAGCTATATCATGAATTGCATCTCGACATCATAACGATGATCCGCAACACTGACTCCGGTGACGAATCCTATCTATGTCATCCGCCGGACACCTCTCAAACAACAATCAGTATGCCACCGTCAGCGTCCCGGGCTACATCACCCAGACCGTATCTCGTCGTCGTCTGACTGGGGTGGCAAGTTAGCCCTTGCTTGTTGCGCACTGAAAGGCTAAAAATGACAAACCTCCACAAAAAGTTCGCCATCTGATTGTATTGGCACCCGACAATATAGTCGGCGAGCTCATCCGCGTGGTCGGTATGGGTTATCCTGGTCTCCTTCAGGAATGCGTCGGCGATTTGGTCGAATCGGTCGATGCTGCGGCTGATCTCCTCCTCGGTCTCTTTGATGGCTTCATGGATGGTCAGGCCACGGGCGCTGACCAGGACGGGAACCATGCTGTCAATATCGCCGTGTTCCTGTGTTGTGCAGGTCAGATTAGAAGATGTCATTTCCCTCCTTATGTGTTGTTTGATCCACAATTTCCTTTCGCAGCGAGAGCAGGTCATTGGAAAGAGACATGTTCATGATCACCTCGTACCAGAGCGAGATCATCTTGGGATCGGTCATGATCTCGCGGGGGATGTCGTTGCCATCGGCGAATCTGTGAAGCGTGTGAGCGAAAGGTCAGAAACCGTGGGGAGGAATGCCTCACTCATTAAGGGCCAGCATGGAAGTGACTGCACTTGTCCCCATGCGGGTTTCCAGGTATTCGGCCACGATGGGGAGCCGTCCCGTCAATTTGCGCTGCTGTTCGCGCTGCTGGCAGTCCATGTAGTAATCGATCTCGTTGACGAATGTCATGATTTGATCTAGAAGAAGGCAGTCCCCCATGCCTGTCAGAGATTGAGTGAAAGACTAGAGCAGAGTACAACGGACCATAGTTGTAGACCTTGCGCAGTTCTGCCCCAATCACATCCAGACTGCGGATCAGCTTCCGCTGGGGAGGATGGTTCTCAAAGTCCCACTTGGCGGTCTCTTCGTCGCCGACCCCGAGGCAGAATTTGACGTACTCCAAGGACTCCTTGCGAAAGTCATTGGCATTGTGGATGTTGACGAAAAGATCGGAGGTGGACTGGTCGATCTCATCGTCCCAGGTGAAAAGCCAGAGGAACCAAAAGGTGCAGGTCTGCAGTCGATCCGGGGCCGCTCGAGGCCACCACATGGCGGAAAGTAACGCATAGTCGTCCTGAATTAACTTTGCTGCTTTCTTCGGATGATAATACCTGGGACAGGGATATCAGTGCCTATTAAACGCTGACGGTAATGAAGGGAGCTTACTCTTTGATCCGAGTCTCCAACGCGACCTTGAGCTGTGGATAGCTAGGATTCACCGCGGTGGGCCAGTCCCGGTAGGAGGGCTTCAGATTGGGGATCAGGAACAGCTCTTTCGTGAGCTTTGCCTTGAGAGCTGGTCGGGGATTGACCACGGGCTTGACAGCACAGGACACGGTCATTGTGGATGGGACAGAAGATAGAAGGCAAATAAATAGTGCTTGGGAGAATCTGTCGGCGAAGTCGCTTGCTCCACGCTCTATATAGGACGCAATCGAACTGGGTCTGGATCAAATGGAGGAATTGTATTCTTCGGAGCTGTCAATTTTCATTCCGCCATTCATGCTGTGCTCCAAGTGATACCACTATAATGAGTATCAATCAGGAAATACTCCAGATAGGAAACATCGTCCGCTGCTAGTCAGTTATTCATGGATGTCCTGATGTTGTGGCATACTGTCTAGTTAGGCCTTTCCTCTCGAGGGTCAGGATGAGAAAAAGGATCAGGCCCATCCTTCCGACAGGCCTTAGGCCACCCCCTGTCTGGAATCTCGATACTACGCCTCCTAGTGGATGATTGTGGTGATACCTCTCATATCTGGCTTTAGCGCCTTGAATGGGCCTTATTTTGCATGGTCGAGACTCAATACATCTATCAGGCCTAGGCTTAGACCTATATTGGAAAGGAAATATGTATGCATCGGCACCTTTCCTTCGGTGATTTAATCCAACCATTGTATTTGTACCTATAGATTCTAAGACTTGACTTGATCACCAGAGAAGACAATTGGTCAACATCTCCATCAACGGTAATGTATATTCTAATCCTGGTCGAGCCTGCCCTGGATCGCGCACAGCAACGATAGCGGAATGACTTCCGGAGGTCGAGCGAACAAGGTCTCCTCGGAGGCAAGTCGGCGGGTACATCCGGAGACATTCCTCGATGGTGGCTGCGAGATAGTTGCACTTGGAGGCGCGGGCGACCGTGATTTCCTCGTCGCTGGCAAAAGTCCCCCGGATCTCGCTGGCGAGCTTGGGGAATATGGCTGTGTTGGTGGCGAGGTAGAACGTAGCCCCTGTGTATTGTGGTCAGTCGGGTGGCCAATGCAGAAGCAACAACAATCGTACCGCAAAGCAGGGGAAGGAACAGCCCCAAAAGCGTCACTTTGTGGCTAACCAAAGATGACATATCCATAGCCCGCATCACAGAACCTCTGTCGCAAGAGTCCACATCAGCCCTGCGGGATATCTTTACCAATGACCCGGATAAGCCTCCCGCGCCGGCTGGCGGCGCAGGGCAAGGAAGCCGTCCCATTTGACGATGCGATTGAGTGGTTTGAGCAAATGGCCTGGAGCAAGAACATTACCTACGACCCGGAGATTGTCCAGCTGTTTCTCTCCACGGTGGCGATCTATACCACCTCGGACCTGCTCACGGTGACCCTCTTGGACTTTGCGCGCAACCCGGAGATCATTGAGCCTCTGCGGGAGGAAATCACCGCGGCACTGGAGCACGGAGGATGGAGGAAAACCTCGCTCACGGAGATGAAGCTATTAGATAGCGTGCTCAAGGAATCCCTTCGCTTGAAACCTATAGCTGTCGGTCAGTCTTAACCCCCACTACACGATTTCACTGCTGACCACGTTTAAATTCCAGTGTCAATGCGTCGCGTCGTCATGGACCACGTCAAGCTGTCCGACGGCACAGTCCTCACCAAAGGCACCAAGCTGGCCGTCTCCTCGCACCACATGTGGGACCCATCCATATACAAGGACCCAGAGAAATGGAACGGCCAGCGATTCCTGCATCGGCGGGATGTTCCCGGCCAGGACAAAGACGCCGTCTTCGTCGCGACGAGCGAGCGGCATCTGGGATTCGGCCATGGCAAAAACGCCTGTCCCGGTCGGTTCTTCGCCTCCAGCGAGCTCAAGGTGGTACTGTGCCATATCCTCATGAAGTATGATATCGAGCTGCCGCCGCGGGCGGTCGTCCGGCATCACTATTCGGGGGCATCGTAGCCGACCCGGAGGCGAGACTTTTGATTCGTCGACGGAGTGTTCCTTTACCTGCTGGATTTGAATAACAGATGGATATATAGAATACCAGTATTCCTTTTCGTCAGTAGGGTGACTGCTGTCGATCGCATAGTAAATGTCCCGTCATATTTCTAGAACGGTGATTCCTACAAATTCACCGGCCACCTGGTCCGAATATATTCCCCGTACCAGTAGATCACAATCAACAACGGAGTAAAGACCAAAGCCATGAACGCCAGGACCGAGTTCCCCCATCCGTATCCCAGAGTATCATACATCCGAAACCCGGCCAACGGCAAAAGCGCTCCGCCAATGGATCTGAGCACGGCATTTGCCGCGATGGCTGACGCCGCATAAACAGGGAAGGCGTCGGACACCAGGTACCCGACCATGGGCATGAAGAAGAACATGTTGCCCAGGCCCACGATGCCAGAGCCCAGGATGGGCATGATCCAGTGCAGTTTCGCCCGGGCACTCCAGCCGTACCAAAACAGGCCGATAGCGATGATGGGTCCGGAGAGGATCATGAGCGGGAGCCGGTGTTCGGGTTTTGCGGCGCCGAAGCGCGCGGCCTGCGCGACGACGTAGCGGTCGCTCGTCATGGAAAACACGATCAAGCCCAGGATGTTGCCGATGCCCATACCCAGGTACGCCAGCCCGGAGATGCCGATGGAGAAGTGGTAGGTGGTCTGGAAGACGGAGAGGAAGGTCGTCACGAGCAGATAGAGGATGCCATACATGACGGCACAGGCGAGGGCGATGAGCAGCGTGATGGGCGAGAGCAGCAGCATCTTGCTGGGGCGGATGAAGTTGTGGACGAGAAGCCTGGGGGTCATCCCCTTGTCGAGTTTCGATCGGAGGAGCTGGTTATCCGTCTCCTTGCGCAGTCGTTTTGCCTTGCGCTCCAGAATGGTCAGCGCATATGTCTCTCGGGAGAGCAGGATTTGTGCGGCAGCAATGACTCCATTCTATGAGTGGTTTCCAGTCAGTTCCAGCACCCATTTCGAACGGTGGATTCTCTTGACCTACCACGATCGTCAGGAGCCAGAACACCCACCTCCAACTCAAGCCCTGCGTCAAGAACCCCCCCCCCCCCGCGACAGGTCCGATTGCCGGTGCTGCCGCCTGACCCAAGGTGAAAAACGAGAGAGCCAATCCTCGCTCCTGCACGGGGAACATGTCCGCGATGGTCCCGCCTCCGATCGTGAGAGGCGTGGAACCCGTCGCACCGGCAAAGAATCGAAAGACTATGAGCATCGACATATTGCTCGAGACTGCGCAGGCAATCGTGAAGACGGTGTACAGGGTGTTGGATACGGTGTAACAGATCCAGCGGCCGTATAACTCCGACAGGGGGGCGACGAGAAGGGGACCGAAGGCGAGTCCCAGAACGAAGATGGAGACGACAATAGTCTCGCGAAGCTGATCGTTGGTGTGGAAATCGTTTGCCAGTTGGATCACGCCGGGAGCGACGATGGATGAGGCCAGGGGTCTATTATCACGGGCAACCTGTCAGCTTCATGCAGTTGACAAACTTGTCCTGTCTCCCGAGAAGAAAACAGACACCTACATGGTGAAGGTACCCGAGGAGATGATGGCGACATGAAGCCATTTGATGAATGGGGGCCAGTTCAATGGGTTCGCGGGATCGTTCTCACCATCCCACCAGACGAGATGGTCCTCCTCCGTCTGGGGACAGGGTTGTTGTACGTCTTGCTTCTGCGATTTTGTAGGAGAACTTTGTCTGTCGATGCTTTCCGCCATCTTTTGTTCCATGATGTAGTGTGGATGTGGGAAAAGCGTTGATGCGAGAGGAAGCAGACCAGCCGGATTGAAGGCTTTTATCCGTGCCATACACACCCTCACCGCGGATACCTTGGGTATTCACTAATGAATGGCTAGTAGCCCAGTACACATCTTGCAGCCCTTGATCTTACGGCACACTAATCAAGCCACAGTATATGTCAAGCTTTAATATAGTCTACTCTGTATGTCTCAGACGGAGAGAATTGATTCGTGGATGATTGATTAGCCTGGCAGGGGTCCAAAGAGCTCTACACCATAAGGATCATATGCTTCAAAGATACATAAATCACTTGTGATCATCCACGCTGGCAATATAAGCCACCAGGTCCAACACTCGCCGGCTGTATCCCCATTCGTTATCATACCAGCTCACCAGCTTGACAAATTTAGGGTTCAACGAGATGCCTGCCTTGACATCGAAAATGGACGAAGATGGATTTCCAATGATGTCTCGCGAGACAACATCCTCCTCGGTGTAGCTGAGGATCCCTAGGATTCATTAGACCGCTGACGTTTAGAATATACATAGGATGCTTACCCTTGAGCCGGCCCTCCGATGCCTCCTTGATGGCAGCAACAATCTCCTCATATGATGCACTCTTCTCAATCCGGCAAGTCAAGTCGACCACCGACACATTGGAAGTGGGTACCCGCATTGACATGCCAGTGACCTTGCCATTCAACTCGGGAATCACCTTACCCACTGCCTTTGCTGCCCCTGTACTGCTAGGAATGATATTCTTTGCTGCAGCACGGCCCCCGCGCCAGTCTTTGGAGGACGGGGCATCAACCAGTTTCTGCGTTGCCGTGTATGCATGAATCGCCGTCATCAGGCCCTCCACAAACCCAAACTTCTCATGGATGGTCTTGACCAGGGGGGCCAGACAGTTAGTGGTACATGAGGCATTCGATACCACTGCTGCACCGTCATACTTGTCCTCATTCACTCCCATCACGTACATCGGAGCATCTGCCGATGGGGCAGAGATGATCACCTTCTTTGCTCCACCTAGTAGATGGGCCTTTGCTTTATCAACTGTGGTAAAGACTCCAGTTGACTCGATGATATACTCCGCCCCCGTATCCTTCCAGGGAATATCAGCGGGATTCTTCTCCGCATAGAATCTCACCCTTTTCCCCGGCTGGATGAGGAGGGAGTCGTCATCCATACGGACCTCATGCTCAAAGCGGCCGTGGGTGGAATCGTACTTGAGCATGTATGCCTATTTGATATCAACATAACTCCGGATTAGTGTCAAAGATCGACACATACCGCACACTTGATATCGATAAAAGGATCGTTGATAGCAACGACCTCGAGATCCTCGTGGGTGAAGGAGTTGCGGAGCACGATGCGGCCAATCCGGCCGAAGCCGTTGATGCCCACCTTGATGACCATCTCTTTTCCTTTGGTTTAGGCCCGATGGGTTGTGCGCTGGAAGAGACTTATGGGGGGGAAGAAGCAGACCCGAGTGAGTTCGGTATTTAAGTCTCCTTCCTGACCATCGTACGATCCCATTCCATTCCTATTCTGGTCATAGATGCATGACAGGCGCTTTGCTATCTAGGTATGGACAGGGTATGGACATCTGGAGTTGAGATAGATTCTGCCTGACTCGTAATATTGTCTGTGAGTTCTAGATTGACATGGGTAGGACTGGAGCAGGGAGGGCCTAACGGTGGAGGGCCTAAAGGGTTGAAAGTACTATTTTGTGGTCTGATTGCATTTCATGAGTAGAGAAATGGAGAGGTTAATCTTCTGGAACTCATTACCTGCTATAGGATCCTAATGGCAAGAGAGCTGGATGGCAACTAGATGTTCATAGTAGAGTAGTCTCAGAGAAAGGATGGCAGTTCCAATATCTCTCCTTTTCAAGCGCATTGAGAAGACTAATATTTATCTTCGTTATCCTGCTCACCCAATCTGAACATAAACATACACAAACAGAAGGGAAAACACAAAAATGACTTCGAGTCTCCCTATTCCACTACAGGTCCTCAACCTTGGCCTTTCATTCATCTTCGCGTATCTCACATCTATCATTATCTACCGTTTGTATTTCCATCCACTGGCCAGGTTCCCCGGTCCGAAGCTAGCAGCCGCGACGAAATGGTACGAGTTCTACTTTGATATCGTTAAGAGACCCGGGGGCCAATTCTTTCAAGAGCTGAATCGAATGCACGAGATATATGGTAGGATTGAAACCCTTGAGAATCCTGGTATACGGAGAGTTTAACGGACCTCGTCAGGACCCATTGTGCGTGTCAACCCCGATGAGATTCACATTCGCGATCCCTCCTGGTTCGATGTGCTCTATGCTCCGAACCCGACGAAGAGAAACAAGTACTGGCCCTCGGCAGAAATGGCCGGGTTGACTCTAGGAAGTACACATAGAAACTCGCGCCTCCTCATGATTACGATCATCATCCTAACCTCCGTGTCTCTCCATAGCCCATGGAACCATCAACCACGATCGGCACCGCCGAAGACGAATGGCCAACGCGCCCATGTTCAACAAAAGGTCAATCTTGAGCACACAGGGCCTGATCAAGCAGCATATCGACGAATTGGTCGAAGTATTTGCGTCCAAATCGGGGACCGACGAGCCCGTCGATCTCCAAACCACCTTCCTGGCCTATACGACCGATGTGATCTACCACTACATGTTCGATACTGATGCAGGATACCAACGGGACCCCAAGGTGGCCAGAAAATGGAGGCATTCAATGGAGGCGGTTGCGCAGGCCACGCCTTTTTTGAAACAGTTTCCGAATCTGCTGTCCAACCTCCTACGCATCCCGCTTCCTATTCTCATCTGGGTCCTGAAGAGGGTCCAATCGGATGTTGCGGGGCTACTAGAAACCCACCAGGTGAGCTTCCTGGAGAGTCCATGGTGGATGACATTGCTAACAGTCCACAAGCTTATGGCCAAGATCGTCTCCAAGTACATGGCCACCAAAGCGACGGAAGCGCAGAGCGAGACAGACGAAGAGAGCAAGAAGGTCAAGCCCCGAACACTCTTCCATGCGATCGAACGAAGTTCCCTGCCCCCCGATGAGAAGCAGCCTCCTCGTCTCGCCCAGGAAGGCCTGACGGTCTTGTTCGCGGGAGGAGAAACCGGGTCCCGCTTCCTAGCCCACACCGTGTATCACCTGCTCTGCAATCCGGATATTCTGGATAAGGTGAAGAAGGAAATTCTCGACGCTGCCGGAGAGTCGAACGAGGTACCGGACGTCAGGACTTTGGAGGGACTCCCGTGGCTGGTATGAGCGCTTCTCTCTCTCATGGATGAAACCGGAAATGGACTGAACCTAAGCAGACGGCCTCGGTGAGAGAATCTCTGCGCCTCCGAGCGGCAACAACATCCCGGCTGCCCTTGGTCGTGGAGCAGGAAATGGTATATCAAAATTGGGTCATCCCTGCGAATGTAAGTGAGAAGAATGCTAGCCAGCCGCTGGCATATCTACCACAATGTTTAACTCAAGAGCTGTTCCTCTAGACCCCGATCAGCATGAGCCACCCTGACATCCTGCACAATGACTCCATCTTCCCCGAGCCCTTGAGATTCCGTCCCGCTCGCTGGTTCACCGCAACTGAGCAGCAGAATCGGCTATTCGTCCCCTTCGGGAAGGGAACGCGGATGTGTGTCGGAATGGAGTACGTGAGAGAAAAGCACCCTGCTTTTGATCAAATACTGATGATGCAATTCAAACAGCTTTGCCTATTCGGAGATGTACCTCAGTCTCGCGGCGATCCTCCCCCGATTCGACATGGAGTTGTACGAGACGGACTGGGAGCGAGACGTGCAGTACTCCCGCGACTGTTTCCTCGGAGAACCGGACCCCCGGAGTCCGGGGATGCGTGTCAAGGTCGTCGCTGATAACAAGGCGTTTGCTCTGACGGAGACTGCTATGGTTTCTTAGGTATGCTGCATGTATAAATGAAAGGGGGGTGAAGTGAAGCATCCTTGGTCATGTCCCCTATTTGGATCTATCAACAGAGACCACTAGGTTGATGCCATTTACATACAAGTATAAAACCATGGATGGTCAAGCTTCTTCCTTACGCATGGCTTCACTCCTCATTCATCCCTCCCCTCCCCAAATGAATCCTCCTCACATGATCCCTCATATTGTCCATCCGGCTAAAGACTCTCGTGCACTGCTCACCTCGGTTGTCGCGCCAATCACACCGGATCTCCGGATTATGTTTCGCCTCGTGCCTGGCACGATCCTTGCGCGTCGCAAAACCACTCTTGCTTTCGAACCGGGGACAGTTCGGTTCCGGCTCGGACTGCGGACAGTCCCGGTATCGACAGAAAAACCGCTTGAAGTGCTGCTTGTAATGACGGTGGAATTCCCGAGCTCGCGTGAACTGCAGGGTCGACTTGCACCTGGGATACGGGCATGTTGTGGGATATGAAGCGATCGAGGCGGATGCGTCGGCCACTGTCCACTCAGGCGGGTTGATGCTGGTATTGTTGCTGGTCCTGCTATCAGTCCCATCAGAGAAGAAAGGATCATTGGAAGACGTGAGGTCGGAGCTGGGATATTCCTGGAGTTCTGTTGATTCACGCAGCTGCGCAAGGAGTCCTGGGGATTCCGGATATTCCTGACGGATGTCGTCTGGGATCAACGGATGGGACAGTGAGAGGACGTCGGGCGAGTGTTCTCGCTTGAAAAGAGGCAAGGCCATCCAGGGGTCTCCGGCCTCCATGAAATCGTCTCAGAAGTGATGATATCGAATGTCGATTTGCGTTGAGACACAATGGTCTTTGGAAGGAGAGGGGGTTGGACCGTCATATTCGTGTGCGCTTCCGTACCTCTGGAGGATCGCTCTTCTGTTCCTGGTCCATAACGAGAAGACGTTCACCAAGATAAAGTACTGGAGCAAGTTTCATCCCCCTGGTCCTCCAATTGGGGGTTCAGGTCCAGTGAGGGGTTGATGGCAGGAATACTTCCTATCTGTCGCTATACATGGTATCAGCATAGTACGACTCTGTACCTACTACTCGATAGTAAGACTAACCAGGTTTTGCTCGAGCGTCATGGTCGGTGATTGGGTGAAATAAAAGGGTCCTTGTCAATATGACCTACAGTATATCCACTACTATCTAGGTAGTACTCGTGCGGTAGGTCTGAACGGATGAATTGGGCAGCCCAACGCAAATTTCTCCCAATAAAGATCTACAATATCTAAAATACTTCATTGGTCGGAAGACATCTCGGTAATAACAATCACTTTCACTTTGTATTTTTCAGGATTACAGCGCCTTTTGCGGGAATCCCTGTTGATATCCAACACATCCCCTCCGTACGACCGACACTAGCTACTCATGAGTCATGAGCCGAGATGAGCTAACAGTAGGCCGTAGGGCCAAGGATGTCAAGATTGATCCGTTATTTGAAGGAGAGTGATCACAGATTGCTTCTCTGTACTAACCACTATTATATGGCGTAGGCGTCCAAAGTCAATTGCTGACGTGGACTTGGCGATGGGCATCTAAATGAGCTCTCTAGCAACATGCATAATTTAGATTGCATAGCTAGTCCACTGCTAACCAGCTCTTGCCTCTAGAGTCTAGAAGCTATTACCAACGGGAAATTGCCCAATGACACTACTCCGTATGCTAGTTGACAGGCATCACAGTGGGGTAGCTTCAACTTCCGCCATTTGCGACAGTGGGCAAGAACCTTTAAACCATTAGCTTTAGATGCAAATGTTTCTTGGATTCCGGTCAACAGACAATGTCTCTGGAGAAGAATCGATTCAAGTGGGCAGCTAAACGCTGGAAAGCTAATTACAAGGTACCTTATATGGGCTACGCTCTCAGGGCCATTTCTTCGAGCATAACCCATGTCTTTTCAGCTCTCCGATCGAGTGTCTGCTGGTCTCAAGTTGTGTCTTTCTGAACCATGATTCTTCCCAAGCCAACACAAGAGAGAGAGATTAGTCTCTTGATGCACTACCTCGACGATGTGTTCCCTCTGCAATTCCCTTTCTACCATACTTACACTCGAGGGAAGAGAGAATGGCTCCTGGCAGTATTGACTTCCACAAGGGCGGTCTATTACTCCACTCTGGGACTCAGTCTCCTTCACAAGGAACAATCCTCTGGCTCGGTCCAACCCGGACTCGTCGCCACATGGCAAGAAGAGAGGGCCCGATACTATATCCTGGCATTGAAGGAGGCACGGCATCCTCTGCGGGAACTAAGTCCGGTGAGTAACGTAGAAACGGTCAAGGGCAGTATCCACACCCTGGCGAGCATACTGCATTTGATCAGCTATGAGGTAGTATTACTATTTCTGGGGGATTCCCAGCCATGTCTGCATCGAGATCCTGACTGCTGAGCAATAGTCGTCCGCGCACGTCCGCGGAAACTGGGGAGTACACCTCCAAGCGGCAACAACATTAATACCGACCATTGTTGATGGCTGGGCCCGTGTGGCACGATCGTCCCAGTTCGAATCGAAAACAACCTGGGGGCATCTGGATCTCTGCAGTGGCCAAGGCACGGATGGCGAGGCGTCACTGTCCTGTGAGAACGTCAGCGCTTTGCGGTTTCTCGCCAATGCGTTGGCCGTGACTGGTATCCTTGCCTGCATTTCTACTGGGCCGTCTGCTGCGCTAGATGACTACCGGTATCTAATGAACAGCACTGGTGATATGATCCGATGCGACGAATTGGTCGGATGCCAGAATTGGGTGATATGCGCCATCTTGGAGATCGGCTTGCTGGATAGATGGAAGCGAAAAGAGGGAGATGGCCATCGTCTCAGTTTAAGGGAGCTCGCCAATCGCGCCAAGACCATCGAGGATGCTCTGGAAAATGGGATCAGGCAGCTGTCCGCGGCGGAGGCGTGTCAGGCCGTCACCACCGTCACCCGGATCTATGCCACGTCGACCCTGACCTACCTTCATTCAGTGGTATCTGGTCTCAATCCAAACCTGGAGGAGATTCAGGAAAGTGTTTCCAGGACGGTTGAACTTCTGGTGCGACTGTCCGATGTCCAGTTGCTGAATAACCTCACGTGGCCTCTGTGTGTCACAGGCTGCATGGCAACACACAACCATAGAGAGTTTCTCAGAACCCTGGCCAAATCAGCAGAGCAGACCTTACAGCCTTTGAAAAGTTGCTGGACAATCCTGGAGATGATGGAAGAGATCTGGGAGATTGACGATCACGTGAGAAAGCTGACCTGGTCCAGGTGGGAGCAGGTGATCGTGAATGGCCGGTCTCCAGTACTTCTGACATAGTTACCAGGGGCTAGGCCCCTCTCCGGTAGACCAACGGACACATGTGTCAAACCCAACTTGCTCAAGGGGGGTGTTCCAAGTTGGGTTCTGGGCTTTTCTATAGAACCCAACTTAGTTAGGTTGTGGATGGCCCAGTTGGGTAGACAAACCAGACAAACATTCTAGAAGTACCTTAGTCCCGTCTTGTATTTATAGGTATTCGAACTGCATACGTCATGGGCTGGCCCCATGACACGCGCCACATTGTGTATGCGGCTGAGTGGTCACGTGATTAGAGTCGGTTATCACATTGATTAGTATGACTGTTGCTTCACAAGATATAACAGGCTTATAGTTGGCCAAGGTTAGAACCTTCAGCTGAAATTTTCTAACCGTAGCTCACTTTTAGTCCTTAGGAATATAATATACTACACAGTATATTATCATAAATATAATATTTTTATGAGAATTCTTTAGTATATACCTAGTATATACTTATATTTATACTACTATACTTTATCAATATATATAAATATACTCGGTATATATAATAGTAAATAGTATTAAATAAGATAATCTACTATATATTCTAGTAGTATATACTAAGTATATACGCAGCAATGCTGGGCATATACTGCTTTTTGTCGCCGTTGCTTCAAACCCATCTGAATGAGTCCTAGAGGTACGGTGATAGAATGTCAACCATGTGAAATTCTCGGACAACGTCCACGCTTTTTGAAGTGAGCCCAATGAATATAGAGAAAGGGCTTTTGGAACGAGATGCTCTGGTTAAACCTCTGTCTCATAACAACCCCCTAGGTAGTTGCCGTAAGGAATAGCCCTAACTTCATTCTCAACTCCGAGTCTCCGACAGTATGACTCGAACAGCACGGTCCTGTCGTGAAATTGCTCTGTAATCATGGATAAGCTTCTGCCTAGCTTAAGTCATGGAAGGATCGATACACTTCATCGTGTCTGAGTGACGTGAATGCAGCGATAGGGAAAATATTTGATCTAAAGATTATTCAATCACTTTATTTCAATGTCCCTCGCTTTGAGGAAAAGCGCCCTCTGAGAATCCCTCACTACCCTTCTTCTTTTTTTTTTTTTTTTTTTTTTTTTTTTACCTCTCAATGTTTTTTAGAGACATTTGCGATACAGTCAAATGGACGACCTAACAATGGGGACTGGAAAGCGCAAATACTGTCCGTTCGAGGGAAATGGACACCCTTCAGGGTTGCATAGTAGTCGTCTTGCGATTAGCGCTGGATGAGGAGGGTTAAGATAGAATTACCGTTGCTAACATTAGGATCCAATATTGTTCGTAGCATGCTTATAGCAGCTACAACTCCTCGGGGCGGAGAGGTAGTACCATAGCGCATCTTGCGGTGTGGGTGATCGTCAAGCAGATACCTTGAAGGATCTAATTACTAGATAGTACGGAGTAGATATCGAACGAAAGAATGTCCATTCTAAATGAAACATATCATAGCGGGAGGACGGTTTTTGTTAGGCCGCATAGCGGGTTATTGATAGTAGTATCTACTCTGTACGTATCACAAGTTCAAAACGCACTTCCACTCGAGTCAAAGTAGGATATTGGAAATTGTTCCATGGAATCTTTTAATAATCTAGCTTGGGACTTGTGGAGCGCCAGGAACACTTCTAGAAGAATATAGGCCAATGAAGAGAAACCACTTTGCCAGGAACAGTCCACCGTCGCCACCAGTCATGCTGAGCGTCCTGAACACGACCCGAGCTCCCCGACAGTCCTGAGCCAATAATAGACCCAACTTGGGCGCAATCCTGTCAAGAAAACTTGGGTTCGTGAGATAATCTATTGCCCAAGACGGTAATTTAATCCTACAATCACAGAGAAGTGCTCCACTGGGATCACCAAGAATCAAACGGACGCTACTCCGTACACAAGCCGTTGGGGATTATCCCCCTTGTTCAAGGACTTCCCCCCGTGAAGAATTTGAGGAATAATTAAACTATAGGTGCAGCACGTCCCAAGTCTAACTGGTTACACCCAGGTCAGCCAGCCATCAGTCAGTCTGTTGCTGTACGATCAATATGCATGTGTACGAAATTGCGCGTGGGTTTTTCTGTGCCGTTTCCCGGGGTCCTGGTATTGGGGGGGGGGGGAGCACCATAACGATGGGATTTACAGAGTACAGAGTATCCGTACATGGTGAGTCTATTAGTATTTAGAAATTAGAATTGGAGATTAAGTGACAAAAGTACGATCCGTGGCTCGAGTCTAGAGGACTCTAGACGCGTTCCTGATTCATTTCGCGAAGAAGACTAATATGAAGGGTAATCCGATGGTCAAGTGACCACTTCGGAACTCTACTAAAATATCTGTCGATCTAGCCGTCCTTATCATCAAAAAACCCGGTTCAGGATTCAAGGCGTCAGGACAGTTGAGACCTACACACCGGCTCTAATTATAGGTGAATCATGAATCAGGAGATATGATTATTATTGACTGGAGTGAGGTACGAAGCAGAGCAGCAACCTCAATAATACTCCCGGACGCCAGGAGCTTGCCAAAATGTGAGATCCGACGACGCAAGGAAAGGGGCGAAAGGAGATCCCTCGGCCTTCGGGATTGCCTCAAATGGGGCGATTGTCAACTCGCTACTAGCTACTAGCTACTAGCTAGGAACGCTATGGAAGATTTCCTCGGGTCAGGTGGGCTACTAACCATCCAACTAAACTGATAACAAGTTAACAACTCATCGTGGTGGACCATCCGAATCCTCAGGGCATTGGCGTCGGGCAGGTCCATTGGATCACGCAAACAGAACCGGCCAGAATTTGGAACTGATCGACGACCGAAAACTTTTCGAATTTTCCATCCGGATGCCGATATGGCTCCATATTAGATTTTTATCTCACGAATAATAATAATCAACAACGGTGAATATTGAATAATGATAATAATAATAATAGACATTATTAGAGAGTCTTTCTGGTATCTAGCTCCTAGGAGCTAGCTGGAGATGACCCCCATACTAGCTCAGTAGTCTCGACGCGACGCCCCGCTGATATTAATTCAGTCACTCCCTCTCGATCCATGGTGTTCAGGAGTGTTCAATCCACTGCCGACTTCCATTTCTCATTCTTTACTCTTCCGCGCTTGACAGGGAGAGTTCAGCCCTCGTCATGGCGTACGATTGCTACTGCGCCCTTTGCGGCGTGGGATTCTGTGGGATGCTCATCGAAACCCCTTCGGAGACGGCAACCGAGCGACGACGACGCTGGATTGAAAAGAGATCTCAGGCCCTCCAGGCGGGACAATCCATTGACCAGGTCCCTCGCGACGGCGAGGAGCCGGTCCGCAGCTACGATCCCCGGATTGTCGGGTGGGAGAATGTCGCGTGGCTCTACAAGGCGTATTGCCTGGGACATAACCCTCAGGCTGCTTCAGGGAAGGGAAAGTACGTGTTTGACAAATTGTCCAGACAGCAGAGGAAAACGACAGAAATCTAATGGATGCTCCAGGACATTTCTTTCTGGTCCCGGTTACTACGCCGATGTTGTATGTTAATGTCGCTCTCCGCCATTGCCACCCGTCACCCAACTCACGATCCGTCCGCAGGGAGAGATTGCGATCAAATCTGGCACAGATGCTGTTCCTGGTCAGGATCGGAATGTCTACACCTGGTGAGTTTCTCCGAATCCAATCAAGGAATCTGTCTAATCGGATGAAGCTACGGCTCCGGAACGGACGACACCCCCGGACCTGTGATCCCCTTCCACGGCTGCTGCTTTGAGATTCTCACGCGGGCCCTGACCGGGTCGACCGAAACCACGAGCCTCGACTTGAAAGTGTTGTACGATCTCATGGCCGGACTGTGCAATGAGACTGCCTCCGCACTGCAGCTGAATTATGGCGAGGACATCCGGCGGGCGCAAGGGCGGTATTGGGAATGCATTCCGGGCGCGGAGGTACGTGAACTGAATGTCCGCAACCGTCGTCCCGGTAGACTGGCCTGACCATCTCTAGTACTGTGCGACACATCCGACCGAGACTCCCGGTCTGGAACAGTTCCTCCGGACCGACATGGTCGAGGACAGCAGTTTCCGGAAACCCTACACGGAATTCGACCTCAACGGCCGATCCCCCGTGAGCCCGTTCGGCAAACTCCCCCTCGAAATTGTTTACCAAATCTGCTCGTATCTCCCCGGGGATTCGCTCCGAGCACTCTCCCAAGCATCGCTGAGCATCCAGAGTGTCACCCAGGATAACTGGTTCTGGAAACGATTCATCCAGTGGGAAATGCCGTGGTTCTGGAAATTCCAGACCTCCCACGGTTCGAAATCATTTCCTCCGGACCTCAATTACAAGCGACTGTATCTGTGGCTCGACAAGATGACCGCTCCTCGCTACGGAATGGATGATCTGACCCTCATTGGCGTGGCCAACCGCCGACGTATCTGGGGAGTCTGCGAGCAGCTTGCCGACCGGTATGACAGGACTCTTCGGCAACAAACTGCTGTCGCAGCATGAGGGGATCATGGCTGTGAGCACATTCAACTTCGTTATTCGAACGAGAAGGTCGCAGTCTCAAGTCTCAGTCTCGTCCAAGTCGGAGGGTGGTGATGGAACCCCCCCACCCCCTTCGTCCTCACCACCTTCACTTCTTCCCCTGATTTCCGTGCATCGAGGAACTCGTGATCTGAGAATGGTCCAACGACCTTGTATGCGAAAACTTGACAAAAGCCGTCAAACTCGGGTTTGTGGCAATTAGCCGAGCACCGAGGACGATCCGGCACGGTCGGCAATCGTTAATCAAGCGTCATCCAGAAGCCGGTTCGGATCGGTCTTGCCTTGGTAGCCGTGCTGATCAAGGTCTGAAATGAATTCAACACCTTAGAGGGAATATTAGAAAGCAGAAATGCCTCTTTTCCCGTGGGAGTTACGAGAAAAAAGAGGGTCTTGTGTTTGTGTGAATACACTCACCTTACTAGGAGCAAAGCAGCGAGGATGCCGCGGGTTTTTTAATACAATAGAGTTATCAAATTGAGAGATGTAGAGATATATAATGGAAAGAATAGAAATATTTAAGCGTCATGGTGATGCAATTGTGATCGATTCTATCTATCTCAAGAGCGGTGGTTCTTGGTATAGTTATCGAATCTAGAACCTGTCTCACTTTAGGATAGTAGTTAGTCTACTAGCCATATAGAGACTAACCCTTCCCCTGACATGGCATCATGGCATTGAAAGTATAGTTAGTGCTTACATCCCTCATCATTAGGCAACTTTGGACACGCACAGCCGTCGGATGGAACTGCTCCAGACGCGTTGAGCATTGGTGCCTGTTGCCATAACCTGAGGAGCATAAAGACATTCTCTTTTGCTGTAAGTTCAATCGAATCTGGGTCGTCAAGAGAGTCAATTCACTTAATAACAATTTATGGCTTCTCTCCACAAAGTTGCTATCTTCGGGGTAAGTCTCAGTCCCCCGCCATCGAGTGTGCCCATGAACTGACTCTCGCACAGGCCGCGGGCAATTTTGGTACGCCCATCACAGCCGCTCTGCAGCGTGCCGGCTTTGCAATTACAATCATCACTCGGAAGGAGTCCACTTCGGTGTTTCCGGCTGAAATTCCCGTCGTCAGGACCACATACGACCATGAGAATCTCACCGCAAGCCTCGCAGGACAAGACGCCGTCGTCTGCGTCATCGGCCCTGGTGGCATTGGGGCTCAGAAAACCATCATCGATGCCGCCGAGGCTGCAGGGGTGAAACGGTTCATCGTCAATGATTTCGGTTGGGGCCCGGACATTGATGGGCTACCCGAGTTCAAAGCCATTCATGCTCAACGGCGTGCAACATGGGATCATGCAAAAGAAAAGGCACGAGAGAACGCGGGATTTACTTGGACGGGGATCACCATAGGTAATCCCATTGACTGGGTGAGCTTCCCATCCAATCGATGGCTCTTCTGGGAGAGCTCAACTGATTGATTAGGCAATGGGGCGTTTCCCGCTTATGGGCTTCGATATCGCTCGCCGCACAGCTATCATCTATGATTCCGGCACCGAGAAGTTCACCGGAACTACACTGGGCGGAATCGGACAGTCCGTCGTCGGTGTGCTGCGGCATCCTCAGGAGACATCCAACCGCTTTGTGAAAGCTCAATCTATCGTGACCTGTCAAAATGAACTGTTGAATGCCTTCCAAGACGCCACTGGAACACAGTGGGAGGTCCAACACACATCCGCACAGACACTTATGGAAAGCGGGAGGAGCAAGTTTCAAAAAGGAGTTAGTGGATGGGTATTGGAGTTAGTTGTTGCGCAATTATTTGATGAGGGTCGGGCTCGCTGCATCGTGGCCCCTTCAAGAGAAGAGTCGGATGCGGATCTCTTGGGAATAGTGGAAGAAACGGCTCAACAGGTGGTGCTCAAGGCATTACAAGCTTGAAAGATGTTGGTGTCTACTTACACTTGAATTTAGGCGTCGTCAGCCGAAGTCCATAGCAACATGAGATTCTAACAATCTTCAAGAAGAAACATACTATAGCTATAGGTAATCTCAATCGAGTATCTATCAACGCCTGCTCATCTTTTCATACTGCCTTCGGGTTCAGAGAAGAGAGACGACCCACAAGAACTCGGCTGAGCCGGTGGCCATGGCATCTACCAGTGCCAAAGATGGAAGATAGAACGACCAGACAGTGTAGTGGAACATAATGCAGGATCAAGTTATAGGTAGCCCCCGAGCCAGCCCCGGGAATGTGCGAGACAGACTGAAGCGGAGCATTGGGTGGCGAACACAGGATTCGGATTAGAATACGGATTTTTTGAGCCTGAATCTTCCGGATCAGATCGATCAAATCATCACAAGTCATTGTCAATCAATACCCCCAATGACTCGCTATTGAATCCAGTCCGTCTCTGTGAGACAGGCCTCATCATCAATGATGGGCATGGCCAGCATACGAATCCTCTCTATTGCCGGAGAATTGTCAAGAGATCAGATAAGACTGAAGTTTACCGTAGGCATCAATGAGCTAGCGATGTAAGAATCATCATATTGTCATTTCAAACTATATTCGATCCACTGGCTGGCTTCCCTTTCGGTGGCCCCCCTGGAGCCTTTGAAGGCCCTGAAGCCCCTGAAGCCCCTGGAGTCCCTGGAGTCCCTGGACCCCCCGGGGCAAACTTTCGCTGTCGCCACCTAGGGCTATGGATGCGCAAAACAATCAGCATGACGCCAATGCCGAGCAAATCCAACAGACCCAGACCCAGAAAGCAGTAACCCCAGGTCATCCGCCTGACGAGCGGTTCAATGATCACGGCTGCCACGGCCGCAGCCGGACTGCGCAACATATTGCCCAGGGCAAATGCTCCCGCGGCCCGCTGAGGAACACATGAGGTCAAAAAGGCATTGGAGGCCACGAACATCCACGACATGCCGAATCCGACTACTTGGTCAGCTGAGGCCCAGTCAAGGGAGAGAGGGATACTGACTCAAAAACGTGGCGATGAGAGGGGCGACAGGATGAATGGCATAGTCCACGAAAAAGCCAAACATGATGAGTCCTGCCGATGCCGAAAACAACCCCCAGATTTGATCATCCAGGCGCGACTCCGGATGCACGTTCTCCTCACCCACGCGGCTCACTGCGCGTGCTCTCCTCCAGTCCGAGAACTGTCCCCCCAATACCGAACCAATCACCATCGCGATGCCCACGACGAGATATCCTGCGCCAACTTCCGTCGTCGTCCAATGATATACATCCCCCAGAGCTGTTGGCAACTGGATGGCGACGCAAAAGTAGGAGGAGTAGAGAATGGCAGTGTTCACGCAGGCAATGCCAATGGGCGGGTATCGGAAGAGACTCCAGTATCCTTTTAGGCTTGGCTTGGGAGGTGCGGGACCACGATCGGACTCTGGAGCTAGGGGCGAGGAGACCGTGGGAGGGAAGAGCAGCCACGATTGACCGGTGTAGATCGCGCCGTTGCCCACGCGGGCGCGCAACGTTTCAGGGAGAAAGAAGACGAGAACGAGCCATGCACAAAAACCTAGGATGGCTGTAGAAGGAAAGGGGGGAGGTCAGCAGTCAAGATAAAGCAATTTTAAACAAGACCAAGGACAGGGATGTACCGAGAAAGCCGAAGATCCATCGCCAGGAGACGTTTCCCGCCAGTGCACCGCCGATCACCGGCCCCAGAATCGGCCCACATTGCGGCCCGAAGACAAAGTACGACATGGCCCGCGCTCGATATTTAGGCTCGGTGGTCTATCAGGATCGAGTATAGAACCGGTGAGTTAGAGGATAGTGGGACCTGTCGGGACACAGACACTCACATCCGCTACAGTTCCGGCGCCCATGGAGACGACCGCCGACGACCCAAACGCTTGCAGGATTCGAAGAACGATGAGGGCGCCATAGTTGGCTGGTAGAGCGGCCAGCAGAACGTTGGCTGCCATATAGATGAGTAGAGAGATGATATACAGGGGTCTCCGTCCTTTCCAGTCGGCCAAGCTGGACCAGAACAGCGGCTAACGCCTATGAGTTATCGTGACCTTGAGGACGCTTCAAAAGGGACGACAAGAGCGCACTCACTCCCACAGCAAAGACCACCATAAACACGGTGACTGTCACATTGATCCTTGTCGTGTTGACCCCGAAGGCTTGGGCCAGGATGGGAAGGGCTGGTAAGTAGATGTTTCCGGCCAGAGGGCCAAGGAAGCCTGCAACGGTGATGATGGCCAAGATCAACCGTTGACGGGAGGACGAGAACTCGGTATAGGGAGGCCGGGGGGGAGTCGGCTTGGGAAGCACATTCTCCACAGGGATCTTGATATCCTTATTTCGGGGCTGTTGTTCACTGGCCATGATGGGGAAGGTCAGTGTTAGGAGTAGATAGAGTGCAGAAACTCCAAGAGATGAAAAGGGACAAGAAGTTTCACTCTGCCGGTATCCAATCCCTATAAGAGTTGAGGGTGACGGGAGAAATAAAACCAGAGGGAGAAGACCAGAAGAGAGAACCAAAAAAAAAAGAAAAAGAAAAAGAAAAAGAAAAAGAAAAAAATAAAGAAGAAAATAAAGAAGAAAAAAAATAAAACAATGCATACAGACTAGTGAAATGTGCTTAAATCTGCTCAACCCCCTCCCCCCTGCTCAAAATGTGCTCAAATACTCTCACAGCCAGTCAGCCTCGTGTGGATAACCTCGTGTTTGTTGAGTCAGGCTGCAGGAGATAAACAGTAGAATAGTCATCCTCCTCTCCAGAACTGTCAGCATGGAATTACTACATCCCCCTCCGCAATCAGCATCCGCATCCGCATTAGCATCCGCAACAGGCCTTCAAGATGAACGCACAGGGAACTTCCTCTCGTGAAGCTCTTGCTGGAGATTCCACCGAGCCTTCGAAGGCCGTCCAAACCACCGAACACGATGTGGAAGACCAGGAGCAGCCCGATCCCAGTACGCAGTTCAACTCGAAGAGAGCGCTCTGGGGCTATCTCGTTCTCTGTTTCTCGGTGAGCCAGTCTCTATCATTCTATGCGTGAGGTTTCCATGTCTAATGTCTCTCTCTCTCTCTCTCTTTTCGACGGCCGCTAGACTGGACCAACGTCGTCCATGGTGAACAACTACGTGACTGCTGCTATCCTCTCCGCTGCCAATCTACTCGGCCATGAGGAAGGATCCAACAAGCCCTGTCCGCGTCGCGGAACCAATATCTCGTGTCTGGTCAAGTTTGGCCCCGGAGAGATTGACTATAACAGCTACACGTTCGTTCCTCTGTCCCAAAGCTCATGTTGATCGTTGTGGCTGATCGCAGCAGACTGTATCTTCGCGCGATCAGTCGAGCCACCGAAGGCGTTGTGTCCATCGTCACAGCTGGCATTGCCGACTACTCCAGTAATTTTGTCCTGTTTTTTCGATCGCCAGTCCGGTGATGAATATCTTGGCTAACCACGAGTAGACTACCGCAAGACGATGATGATGGCGTCCATCTTACTCTTCGGAGCCCTGGCCTTGCCGTTTGCTGGTCTTACCGGCCAGAACTACAGTCATCTGACCGCGTTGGCGGTTCTCTACTGTCTGCTCACCACGGTCGGAGGGGTATACATGGTCGCTGAAGGCTCGTACATTCCGATCTTTATGCGATCGACCGGATGGTTTCGCGATTCGGTCGTGGCCGGGCAAACAGGAGAGCGATCCGTCTGGAGCAAGGGCGTTTCCGTCAGTGTGCTGGCGCTTGTCTCAAGCAACGTGGGAGGCCTCACTGCGCTGATTATCGGAGTGATCCTGGTGTATGGACGCGGATCGTATGTGCAGGTCGGCTACTTCAACTATCTCCTGGCCATCACTATCGGGGGTTGCATCACTAGTAGGTTTCTCTTTTTGCTTTCGTATCTGCCAAGTCCGCTGTCATCCCTCTGACCGGTGGCTTCAGTCCTCTTCGCTTTTCTCGGGCAGTATCTTCTGCCGTCAGTCCGCGGGAAGGAGATCGAACGCAAGCAGAACCTGTTGCTGCTCCCGGTCAGGAACTGGATCCACGTCGTGCGCTGCGCTCCCCGCTATTCCGAGGCATTCAAGCTGTGCATTGGATGGGTCCTGTGGAACACAGGCTATTCAAACCATCTACAGTTGATCTCGGCGCTCTTTCTGCAGGTCACTGGCTTCACACGCAACTCCGGCGTCTACTCCGTCTGGTCCTTCACCAACGTGATTTTTGCCTGCATGGGCAGTCTGATCTTCATGTATTTGTACCCGCGACTACAAGTGCCTGTGAAGAGCTGGGCCTATGGCTTCTTCCTGGTGAACATTCTCTGTGTGCTTTGGGGCTGCATTGGCATCAGCAACGAGGTCACGATCGGGTACAAGCATCAGGCGGAGTTTTGGGTGGAACAGGTGTTGTTCATGTCGACCAGTAGCGCCCTGCGCGCTTACAATCGTGCTTTGTACTCGTCGCTGATCCCCAAGCACTCGGAAGCCCAGTTCTTTGGCCTGGAGATCACACTGGACCTGGCCACCGGGTGGATCAATCCGCTCGTGATGGGAGTGATCCAGAATCGGACACATAACCTGCGGTTTCCCATGATTCCGAATCTGTTGCTGATGGTGGTGGGATTGGGGTTGTACTGGCTGGTGGATGTGCCCAAGGGAATCGAACAGGCCAAGGTGCCCTTGGCGCTGTAGATGGGCTGACCTCGCCGAGTCTTCAGGGATTGATACCATCATAACCAGCTCAATAATGAACCTGTTATGATTCTGTCTCGTTCATAGTAAGTTCGTCAACACTCCAGTAGTAGTACCTAGTAAGTAGTAAGTATGCTACTCAAGGTTACGATGGTTGTGGATGTTGTAGACCAATAGAATTCGCTAGCGACAGAATAATCCACCGTAATCTGCTCAAATATTCTCGCCTGTGCAGTGTTCAGCCTATCTAGTCAACTTGCTTAATTTAAATTGCCGATCCGATGAGAGAGCTGCCCCGTCCTACGTGGCGGCATCCTTGTCGTGTGTGATGAACATCAATCGCAGCCCGCGTGGATGCAAAGGACCCGCCTGTCCTCCGTCCAAACCACATCAGTAAAGCATTTCAGATCAACTACTTCGGAAAAGAAAGATAAAAAAAAAAAAGAAACCACATACCGGCATCATCTGGTCTGTCCACTCAGGGTCCAACGTCCAAGACAGGGATCTCACCAGCACCAGCAGCGAGACCCGCATCTGCAACAGGGCAAACTTCTCGCCCAGACATGCACGCGGCCCGCCATGGAAAGTGATAAACTCGGCTCGCGCCTTAGCCCGTCTGTACGCTGCGAAAATCTGCTCATGTGTGTGGCCCCATCGCTCTGGTCGGAATTCATCTGCATCTGGACCCCAAGTGGTGGGATCTCGATTGGTCGCGTAGCTGTGATATCCCACGTACATCCCAGGGGTCAGATGGAGGTTTCCTGCCAGCCATGTGGGCGTGGCCACTCGACGGTTGATCAGCTGCGAAATGGGCGGGAATAGCCGAGCACATTCGAGGATCGTCGCCGACAGATACGGGAGCCTCTCCCAGGAAACCGTGGGTGTATCACCCTCATCGATCGTTCCATACTGCTCGATCTCCGCTCGGAGCCGCTCCTGTACCTTCTATATAGATAGATCATCGGAATATGAACAGAAAGTCAAAGCAGTGGTCCATGGATCATCACATACCGGGAATTTCCCAAGCAAGTACAGCGCCGAAGTAAGCAGCAGCTGTGGATTCTCATGCCCCGCCACGTAGAGGACGTTGAGGTTATCGCGGAACTGCTGGGTGGTTAGCGTTCCATCACGCCACGCGGTCGCCAGTCGGCCTCCGACACTGGTCGTACTGGACCCCGGAGGGTGCGCTTGGACTATCTGCATCTGCAACTCGGTGGAGAAGTCCTGGATCAGGTTACGGGCCTGTCTGCGCGACGGAATAGCCCAGCCCAGCCAGTCAAGGACGGGGAAGTTCAAGAAGATCGGTTGGAAGAGATACCGCTTCAGCGACGTTTGGATGCTGTGCAACGGAGCGTCCTGGTCCATCTTGATCATCTCGGACTGTTGCTTTCATTTTATTTTTTTTTTCTCTTGTTAGCAGGTGTCATGTCATAACCCAATTGCTCTCAGTCACTTGGACTTACACTCAAGTCGGACAGTCCCAGAACACAACGCAGGAGGTTGGCGCTCGAGTATCGCTGTAGCACGCCTTGTACCGGCACTCCCTGCCGGCGATTCCTCTCCTGCAGTCCCAGCAAGACCGCGCTCAGTCGTTGAGCATGACGGAACACCGCGCTGGAGTCAAACGAGGTCTGCAAGCCGGGCTGGATGACAGCACGATAGCGGCGCCACTCGTCCCCTCTCGCTGAGATGATGTTGGAGCCTGCCAATCGAAGGTCGAGGTCAGTGCGAGAAATCTCCCTCAATTGTGCTCGTTCCCGGAAGTTACCCAGATACTCCGCCAACACGCTGTGGGGAATCTTTTCCTGATTGCCGCTCTTGTGGTAAATGTGCTCGTTGCGAAAAATCTCCGCCAACATCGCCGGTCGCTGCACTATTACATTCCACCGGCCCGCGAAAAACATCTTGATGGCGCCATGGGTCTGGAGTGGTTTGGCAATGTACTGCTGGAAGGTCTCCTGCTGATCGACATCGAAGAAAAAGGGCAGGAGGGTCACCCAGAAGGGTACGCTGGGGATCTGTTGTGGATGGCGTGGGGGCGCAACAAAACAGAGGTACAGGCCAAAGAGACACGGCAATGCACCCAGGAATAGTAAGAGAGACCACCCGGTAGCTGTCTTAGACCATTCGGAAAAGAATACGTCCATTGTGGTTCGTTAACGTGGCGGATGAGCACCAAAACTGGCTGCGACTCGAAGAGGGCTTTATAGGGAAGAGGGAGGGGTGTTCCATAGAATCCTAGCGCGGCTCCAGTTTAGAAAGAGAAGAAGAAGAAGTAGAAGAGGTTGTTTTGACTATCTAGGTCAATGCAATGTCGAGGGGATTCTCTTGTAGTCTCTGTGTAGCGAGTAAGAAAGCCTATATCTCAGCCTATCCGGAGGGAAACCTCCGCTGACCAGGTGGAGATGCAGCGAATTTGAGGCAATTATGACTCTGCGCTTCCTAAGTGGAAACAGAGATATAACAGCGCTTGCTTAGGAAGACGCAGCATAGGCTTCCCACTCATTCTCTTACTCGGCCATCTCCCATCTCATCCATTCAACATTCGGGGGCTTGACACGGATATCTACCGTTTGTACCCACCATGGAGTCAGAGCTGTCAGGTTATCCTAGTCTCTACGACCGAACACTGTTTTGCTATATGCGAACATGCAGGGGGGAGTTAGTTCGGGCTTTTGGCAAGCATGCAGGCGATGCCACATCCATTTGGCCTGCAATCCAATCCCCACTACTCCCCCATGAGGACAACGATCTCTACCGGCGGCTTCCTTGCATCGCCATCAATGAAGAGAAGACTGTTGACATCTACGAGCTACGGTCTGAAGATCGAGCAAGGATTGCCGGATTGGTTCTGCAGTCCTCGACCGTCGAGTCAACCCAGGACTTCGACAGTTTCTTCGCCCATCTCCTCCTGACCTCCATTGGAAATCAACCCGACACCCCGGAGACACTTTCTGCAGCCGATCACAAGCACAGCAGTTCAATTGCAAAGGCACTCGTGGATTTGTGCAATGCAGAGCTATTATTCCATCCGTCCAATTCACAATGGCACAATGGCGGTCGCGACTACCTACTCCGCCAGATATCTTTCTTCACCTCGCGTGGATTGCCCATACAGATGGCGCTGCCAGCGTTTCCTTGTAAGTCCTCAAACTTACAAAAGGTCGAGGGTCGAACGCCCGACCGCGGTGAAGAATTGGCGCTGCGGAGGCTGTATCAAGTGCTAGGACAGATCGAAGCCATGTACAGTCCAGGGGCTTCAATCTATATCGTCAGTGATGGGCATGTTTTCAGTGACTGCAGTAAGAGAGACTCTGCCCTTCCTTGAGGATGAGTAAAGTTGAGTGCATCCCTAACTTGGTGATAGTTGGAGTGGACGACGACATGGTCGATCTCTACAATGCCGAGTTGCAAGAGCTGAACCATGCCATCCGTAGGCAGGGAAAGTATCAATCTCAGATCGTCTTCCGGTCACTCAAAGACATCTTTGCCTTTGATACCCAGGAAACTGACCAGCTCTCCATGCCCGAGCTCAATCATTATCTTCCAACAACGATCTCATCTGACGCGGAAACATGTCGGCAGATGATGATGCTGGCCTGCCAGCCCAACCGAGCAGCTTTAAAAAAGCAGATCGTCACAGATAATCCCTCGCTCCTTGCGCTGTACCGTGGCTTTTCGCGCTTTATGCTTGAGGATCTAGCGTTGCTCCCATACTCCCAGTCTCTCTCTCGAAGCCAGCGAAAGAAGACGGCGGAAAATGTCGCCTTCGAGATGATTCTGCGCAACCAGGCCTACTCCAATCTCGTGGAGCTGTTCTTTCCGGATCATATCCGGCTTTCCATTCATGCCCATCCGAATTCCGGCCCCAAGTTTGGCATCACTCTGTTTGATCCAGCGACTACCAGAGTAGTCGACAGCTTGGATGATCTCTCCAGTATTGTCGATGCTTGTCCCTCCCTTGACCTCTTGCACATTCCGACGCCATGGCATAATTGTGTCATCAGACTGGTGGGGAACGCAGCAGATCTAGTGGCCAAATCGCACCTAGTGCAGGAAGCCCTGCGGTTAGATCACGTTCAGGGGCGCTGGATTGAAGGCGACGTGGGTGCGGGCCGTGGGGGATACTTTGAGCTCGACCTGCATCAGAATGACAAACAAGGCTGTCTGACCGTCACAGACACAATAATATCCTCTCCTACCTTGTCTCAAAGCACGACAAGCACCCCTGGTGTTATCCAGCAGTCAGCGGTGACAAGCCCACGAAAGCCTCACAGCGCTTCCAGAGTCCTTCTCGAGGCACAAAGACTGATGCAGTGGATCAAGCTTCAAACTACTGGCTCTGTTGACTAGGGTATTGTTTCCTAGTGGGGTGGAATTCAATTAAAGTTCCGTGATAACTCTTCTCATAACTTCCTAACTCATACACATGTCCATGACTCCATATGGTATAACTGTATAAGTTAATCAATAAACCGCCCCGTCGCGTCCAGTCTTACTATAAATAAGGACAATCAGTTTGATACTACTGGAACCCCTGCCATTTCATGTTGTTTTATTCCCAAGTATGCACGATTCTCTTGTAAATACTACAGTCTACGGCAGTGCTCATTTCCAGAATCAATCAATCATTGTGCCACCCAGAAGAACTGTGCACTGCAAGACCTCTCAGAAGTCAGAACTCAGACATAAGATTGAAATAAATTAAATCAAGCTCGTCTCGGGCTCTCGGTCCTAGAAGCGAACCACGAACCCAACCAACCGAAGCCGAACTGTTTTCCACCAGCTATCACACATTCGGGACGACCTGAGACACCTGGTAGCCACGTCTCCACTCTCCACCCTCATATCCCCCTGATTTACTCAATACCCGGAAGGTTTCCGTGCGATCCTTGAACATTCCCAGAATCGGGGTGTTTCATCTACATGCATTGAGAGTACCAAGCGTTCGAGACCTTGCAGCTCCCGTTGGTGCAGCAAGTAGGGCCAGACCAGCCAGTTCCACCGCATTGGCTTTAAAGAGCAGCGCACTGTAGATGAGTTAGACTGAGGTCCTAAATGCATGTGGTCGTGAATTATTGGGGGACACTGGCCTTGCCGGAGTTGCTGCTGCCTCCTGAAGAAGAACCACCGGAGGAAGACCCGCTAGAAACCTTGATGGTAGAAGAACCACTGCTCTCGTAGCCTTCCCTAGAGACGATCTGGTAGTCGTGAGCACCCAGCTTCATATCCAATTTAGCCCAGGCGTTGAAGTGGTTAGCAGTGGTGACAGTACCACTGGACCACTTGCTGCGGCGGATCGACCAGTACTGATTGAAAGTAGCCTTTCCGGCGATGGACGGCTGGCTGACCTGCTGATGTGTGTAGATATGGTAGGTGGCTCTGCCAGTGGTGACGGTGCCCTTGTGAGTCATGCCCGAGCCTGGATTGTAGCTGCCATAGTTTTCAAGAATGGAGTATTCGATCATCGGACTGGTGGTCCAGCCATATACGGCCAAGTAGGCATTGCCATTTGGGTTGAAAGTGCCGGAGAAAGTGATGTCGCTGTTTGTAAACATCAGTATGAAGAAAATCTTAGGGCCGGACTTCTCGGTGGGAAGGGTACCGCGCACTACCCAGCTACCAACCTTTGCCAGAGGTGAAACTGCCGCCATCCTGGTTGGCCCAAGTCACCCTGTATTCACCACCATTACCATTCTCATACTAAACCTAGTGAGTAGTACAGAGGTTGATCGTTGTCACAAATGCCTATAAAACAAGATCATGTCAGCTGGTATCCTTCAGAAAGATACTGTGCAGTCTATCTTCTTACCGCCACCAATATGCGTTCTGCAGCTTTCTTCTTCGCTATTGTAGCAGCCTGGTCTTCTACATTGGCCATTTTCTCTGCCCACAGAGCGGGAACTCTATCAATTCACTGCCATGACTTCCATGCGGTACGCTACTCCCTTGCCCCAGCATCGCCCATCACGACCTATATGCCGCCGGCATCCATGGCCTCTATTATGCCTTCCGGCCTGTCGACCACTACTTGGGTTAAGAATGCTCCCGATGCCTCTGACTGGGAGAATCCCTATGGTCAAGCGGAATGGAACCGCCGCTGGGCTTCGCTGACGCCCAATGTTTCCATTTCTACGGCAGAAATTTCTACCACCGTCCAACCGACACCAGTGTCATCCGCTTCGCTGATCATGCCCCCCACGGCCGATTAATCTTAAACTGGTGCTGCAAAAGCGAAGGAGTACAGGTTTCCCAAGGACTTTATCTTTGGTGTTGCTGCATCAGTCGGACAGATTGAAGGTGCGCTACAGGACGAAAGGCGCACGCCTAGTGTCCTGGATTACTTCAACCTGATCCCGGACACGGAGTTGGACTACATCACCGACTAGAACTACTACCTGTACAAGCAGGAAATCGCCCGGCTGGCCGCCATTGATGTTCCCTACTACTCCTTCAGCATCTCGTGGAACCGCATCCTTCCCTTCGCCGGGGTAGGCACTCCCGTTAACAAGGCGGGAATCGACCACTACGGTGATGTGATCAACACATGCCTCGAGTACGGGATCAAGCCTGTGGCCACCATCGTGCATGTGGACGAACCATACGAGTTTATTATGGACGGCAGGGACGTGGATGGAGTCTAGTTCTCTCACAATTCCGGCGCCGCTAACATCACTTTTGTTAAGTCCTTTGTCTAGTACTCCCGAATCTTGTTCGCCCACTATGCGGACCGAGTCCCAATCTGGTTCACCATCAATGAACCGTTCTACGAGTCGGGCAATCTCCAGGGGATGTACAATTTCCTCAAGGCGCATACTAAGGTCTATCACTTGTATAAATCCATGGGAGGAAAAGGGATGGTCTCGTACAAGTACGCCGGCAACTTTGGCATTCAATTTCGCCACTGCTTCATTGTAAAAGATAGAGCAGATGTAGTTTTGATAAAATATTGACAGTAAGGACCAGAGAGAGGGACATTCAGCTTGAAGACTCAAGAGGCTGAGAAAGAAAGAGAGGAAGGGGGAATGTCTACATGGCATTTCTGAGTTCTCCTTCGAACCTTCATCCAAGTCTTTACGACTCTGGCTCCTCAACGCGTGCAAGGGGCTTTAGGCACGAAAGATGCTTATCCTGATGCAGGGCATTGCCACCATTCTTGTAAGCCCTGAGGACCTCAGTATTCCTTTGCTTGATTGTGTTGATCATGTACTGAATGCCATCAGTGGCAAGCCCCTCCAGGGCTTTCTCATTGGCCTCCTTAGCTTCTTCCTGAATCTCATGGAGTCGCTTCAGCCAGAACATGTACCTCCATGGCGAGAACCCAGCAGGTGATCGCTGTCCAAGCTCCGATTCGAGGAACTCCTCACCGCCCTTGCTGATGTGGCTAGGGCAGTCGTTCCAATACACTTCTGATAGCAAAAGGAGGTTGTGGCTTGCTATTTTTAGCCAAGTAACAGCAGCTGGTAACAGATGAAAGACCTCAAGCTGCTTGGTACCTCGGTTGAGGTCTTCCTCGTCTGACTCTTCCCCAGTGTGAAGTGCTTGAGGGCTTTCAAAGATAGTACGGAACATCAGAAGGGCAACCTGGCACATCCTATCCTTAGCGACACGAGTGGATGCAAGTTTAGCCAGGAATGTTGCAAAGTTGAGACGGTGTGTTCCCGACATAGAAGCACTATGGTTGACCCAGAAATTGGTCATATCGCCAACCAAGAAGGGGAGATCGTTCCACAGTGTACCGTCGACGGTTCTTGCGATATCAATCCCATAGACTCCGCGTGCAGGTCTAGTCAACGGCCCCATTCCTTGAATGCGGAGGATATCGAGGACTATACCCTCATGTTCAGGTGATTCGGAGGAGATGTTTCGGCCAAGCTCGTAGTACATATACCACAGGGAATGAATGTGGCCTTCAAGGGAGTCTACACCATCTCCAATATCGCAGTATCGGCTGGTAACGACCCAGGTCCGGTTACTGAAGGCCATGTCTCGAACCTCTTTGAATTCACCCCGAACGACAGACTGGCGTGTACCTTCCTGATCTCTGCGAGCATGGTCGATCATTGCGGTAGACGGTGTGTCTCTAGGCAGAGAACTCAGCAGAGAATCACGGAGATGGTCCATTTTGGAAAGGTGGCAATGTTGAATGATGATTTAATTAGAATTCTTGTAAGATAAAGAAGGCAGTGTGGAAGTGAAATAGTTGATATGGCGGAACTAGACGGGGACTTGAATCGTTGTAAGGGTCAACTTGAACGAGGGGACAGAAAGACTTCTCTCCCAGGGTGGGGACCCTCCTGGATCCCTACTAGGCAGAAACGTAGGTTCTGACAGGCTGACAGCCCAATATCTGAATTTGGACTCGTGCATGCGCTGATAGGCTGAACTATTTTCTTTGTTGGCTGTCGATCAGCTGGCAGCCAGGAGAGAAGTATATGTTGATCATGCAGCCATCCCGCAGGTACTACATGAGTGACATGACAGGTCACAAACCCTGCATTGCTGCAAGTATGTGTGTGTGTGTGTGTGTGTGTCATTAATTAACATCCAGCAGGGCATCTAGCAAAGTAGGGCCCCTGAAACCTCCTAAGGAGTATTAGAATATATATATAGAACTATAGATTATTTTTTAAAGTATATTAAAGTCATTAAATTATATCTATCCAAGATAAATTCCTAATTTAAAGA